AAACAAAAGACTTTGATCCCCTGGTTGTTCAGGGCTCGTAACAGTTCAAGAGGGAATCTGGATGGTCCAAAGGTGGGGGGAGGTATTCTTTCTCTCCGAAAATTTACATACCCAGGGTATTCTTTCTCTCCGAGAATATACATACCCAAAACAGCTCGAGATTCCTCAGCTCGGTTTGGGCTCGATTTTCATCAGAGCCTTTCGAGCCACCAATTTATGGGACCCCTGCTTGAAGGTCCCAAGTTGAGACCAATGAGACCTGGTGCGTTCCACGGAAAAAGATATACTCGATGAACCCCATGTTGACCCCACCTGCGTGCGGGAGAATTAGCGGCATGTTGACCCTGGATCCGTCAACCGGTGGTTGAGTTTGATTGGAGGGCTTGTTGGGTGGGTTCTCATTGTGGTTCGCTTGCGCCCTACAAAGAAGTTGACTATCTGGGCAAGAGGAATCGCGACTTCATGGATGTTTGTTTATTTTTTGGTTGGGGGTTGCGACCGGTTCCTCGAATCTAATACAAAACTATTTCAGGTTGGTGACCTTTTGAGTGTCGACCCCAGATGTATCAACCAAAAGCGGATACTGCGGGGAGTGTTCCCCCGAAACTGATGCGGAACCCCGAAGACGGGTGGATCCCTTTGGCTTCGCGTTGAAACACGCCAAAGCGGGTGCCACTAAGGGCAGGGAACCCATGGGGCATGGTTTGAAAGGCAAACCAAGGCAAAAACCCACAGAAACAGGGGGCCCTTGTTGTAGAAAATGATCGTCTGGCATCCTTTCAAGAAGCCCCGCCGCCCCCCCCCCCCCCCCCAAAAAAAATAGTAATATGGCAACCGCCAAGAATTGGAGCTACACCCTATGCCACGTTCGTTCCTACCCGCATAACGTGTATGATGCAAGTGATGCAGTACTTGCTTCACTTGGCTGTGGCACCCAAAATGGGACCTTGGTAAATGGAAAAGTAGACTACAACCCTAGGTTTTGAATTTGCTTCGCACCTCAAACCTGAATTTCCTGAATTCAACTACCTGGCAAATCAGACAAAAGACAAGCCCAGGTATCCCAACAGCCAACCCCGTTGAACCCTTCCGGAACCCACCTAGGGGCAAAAGGTATAGGGGCGTATCGACCCCTTGAAAGTGTGGAAGAAACTGGACCAAAAACCCTTCGCAAAAAGAAAGAAGAAAAAAAACAAATCAGCCCAACAGCCATGGGAACTGACAGCCCTTGAGCCTCAGTTCCATTTTTGCCTATCTGAACCCCAAAGAAAACCCGCCCGTTGGGGGGGGGGGGAATCTGACCGAGGCGCCGCCAGTGGCAGCAGGCCAATCCCGGTGAGCACCTGCCAAATCAAAACCGATGGGTACTAAATGGGTCTTTTTTGTTGGGGAGGTGGTACCCCTTCTTTGGCGGGCTTTCAAGGGAAACCAAGAGGAAAATGCCAAAATAGGGGGGCTCCAAAGGAAAAACAACCCGAGTGGACGGCTTCCTGTTGTCTACAAACAACCTCGTTAAAAAGCCGGCTGCCCCCAAAAAAAGTAAGCTCAGGCGATATCCCCAACAGCATCACACCCTCCCAGAACTCGCGGAAGAGCTACGTAGGTCGGGGCCAAATTGCACCGTCGGGGCCCGATTGCACCGTCGGGACCTGATTGCACCGTCGATCGGGGATTGCGCCGTCGGGCCCCGATCGATTACACCGCCAACTGTACCAAGCTGGCGATCAGGGCGCAATTTAGTGTTCCGCCCATGAGCAAAGCGATCTTCTGAGCCCTCAATTTACTGCTCCCATGGCTTTTCAGACGGCGCATGACACATTGCTTCCCTCACGGCAAACCACGGAACCTTGCAGAGCTTGTGGAGCCTTGTGGAACCCTCGTGGAATCCTTGTGAAACTCTGTAGAACCTTCCCAGGACCACCCCGCAGCCCTCGCAGAACCTGGTGAAACGCTGGTGAAACCCCGGTGAGAACTTTCATGGAACCCTGAACCTGGTGGAACCCTGGTAGAACCGTGGTGGAACCTGGTGGAACCCTGGTGGAACCTTGCCCCAGTTCCGCCCCGGACCACCCCGGACCATCTCCTTTTGAGGTGTTTGTGGACTGTCCCCTTCTTTAGGGTGATGATTCTCTTTTGGGGTCAAACCACCCAGGTGCCGCCATTTTGAGAGACACGCATATGAACTTCAATGGATCCCGGACGCTTTGGCGAACATATAGATCAGTTTTGAGGTGGTTCCAGCTTTTACAACTCATATCCATGATATGGCTGTGGGTCAAAACCAATGGTACCATTTTGGGCCAGGTGCACCACCCATTTTAGTCTATCTTAGTGGTTGGATTGGGATGTTCACTGGGGGTACGATTTGGGTTTTGACAACCACGGCCATATGAGAAGAATGGGCCAAAAAAAAAGGCCAAAGAAAAGGGGAAACAAAGCCTGCGCCATCTGCCAACTGCTTCCGCGGCGCCAGGCCCCAGAAGGCGCCCTTGGCCACGCCGCTGTCGTTCTCGCTGTCGCCCAAGGCCGCGAAGGCGCGGAGGCGCCACACCAGGGAGGCGCCCAGCAGAAGGGCGCAGAGGAGGCTGGGCGCGTTCCAGTGGCGCGAGTGGCGCGAGTGATGCCATAGAGAATGACCCAGTCAGGATGTTGGGAATGAGCTGAGCCTAGAGATTTCCTTAAGGGACACCAAATCGGGGGATGGTTTATGGAAGTCATTCCAACTCATTCCCTCCTGAGAACTAGCAGGAAGATTTGGGGGCTGTCTTTAGCCCAATGGATCCGAGTTGCCAACCATGGGTAACCAGCCATTCGCCCTTGGTTACCTTGGAATCACTGGGTAAAGTGAAGCCCCTTTGTGGCGGAGGGGCCGAATTCGGGCTGTGCTTTGGGCGGAAGCACTTCTTTTGAGGGGGAAAAAAGCCTTTTGGGGAAATTTATTGCTTGCCCAGTTTCAAAATCCCGTACCCCCAGTGAACATCCCAATCCAACCACTAAAATAGACTAAAATGGGTGGTGCACCTAGCCCAAAATGGTACCACTGGTTTTGACCCGCAACCGTTTTTCTGGATTTTCTTGGGCTGCGCCCGAGCGGCTCCCGCGAGCCGGCCCGCTCGCTGGCTTTCGCGGATCGCATGGACTTCGATCGCTGCAGCGAGAGGGACCTGTCGGGCCAAATCCCCGCGCCGCCCGCGGTCGACGAAGGTGGGCGTGGATCGTCTCCTTTTGGTTTCGCGTTTAAACCCACCAAAAGACCAAAAGGGATACCCTCGAAAGACACGCAAGTCAACCCAGGAAGCGCTAGGTATGGGCCCAATGAACCACTTTTCGGGTTGTCGACATATGCCTAGCTCAAAGGCTCGCGGAATATGGCAGGCCCCAGGTCCAGGATAAACCGTGAATACAGTTGGGTGTGCCTCTGAATGGGACAGGCCTTGCCCCCAAATTCATGGCTTGGCAGCTTGCTCTGCCCGACATCTTGGGTTGCTCTGCTCTCAAAAAAACACAGCCACATAAAGGAGGAAAGGCACGACAAGGCAACCGGAATCGCATGCGAGTTTCATGCTTACATGTTGTCTGATTCTCTCGCATACCCACTGGCTCTCTCCATTCGTTTACCTGGCATGCGATTCCAAGAGCTGACAGGTGGCAGAAGAGAGAGAGAGAGAGAGAGAGAGAGAGAGAGAGAGAGAGAGAGAGAGAGAGAGAGAGAGAGAGAGAGAGAGAAGAGAGAGAGAGAGAGAGAGAGAGACAGAGAGAGAGAGAGAGGGAGCTGAGGGAGCTGAGTAAATGGTTTGCTGCAGAACATTTTTGATGATGAAGAAATCCTTTAAGAAGAGATACAGCATACCATTAAGGACTATCAAGGGAAACTCCTGTCACTCATCTCTCTATCGCACTTCTCCCTTCCTCCGCCTCATTCCATCGCCTCACCCATCCTTTACCTGTCTGTCTTGTCTCTCTATCTCCCTTCCCATCCAGACCTTTCATCTACTGGCTGGTCCCATTTCTTTCATCATTTTGCTTATGGAGAGAGTCTCTGAGAGTCATTCCTTTAGCTACATTGGAAAAGTTCCTTGGCAAACAAGATGACATCTGATAAAGACTCAGATTGGTGTCTTGCGTGTGTGTTTTGCAGTTCAAGGAAAAAGGAAGCACCTCCTTTTGAAGGGAACAACGGCGCCAAAGGCTTGAAACCCATAAGCCCAAAGCCCCACTTCGCCTTTGAACCACGCCCTGGCGCCGCAGCCAAATGCCCCTCACCGAGGTGAAGAAGAGGATCCACAGCGCCGTCACGAACATCGCGAGTTGGGATTTTGGCGTTGAAAAGACTTTCAGGCAGCAAAAGTCGATACAAAGAAAGTGGGGCGATCTGTGTTTGTGTGTTTGTTTGTTTTGTTTTTTGTTACTGCGTCTAACGACAACCTTTGAAAAGGCGATAAGATCGTTGAGGGCGCCCCGATTTCAACTTGGTGCTCGTTGAAGCACTGTGTGTTCAAATGTAGGGCTAGTGCTACCCTCGCTTGAGCCAAGGTAAATGCGTCCAGAAAATCGTAGATCGATTTCCGTCGAGATGATCCGTTCTTTCTGGCTTCCCTTTAACATATGACCATTCGGGCTTCGTCTGAGATGTGTACTTCGCAATTTAGCAACACCTCCTGCAGATTGGTTGTTCAGTTCTTCTTGGCTTCTCTTTGGTCGCCCTGATGATCCAGCCAGATTGAGAATCGCAACCAAACCTGCGATCGAAGCTGTAGACTTCACCGCATTTGTTTGCACCTGCCTCTGGTGATGCCCCGGAAAACATATGCGCCAAAACACCAACATCGGGCAAGTCATTCCCTTGCCACACAAAAAAAAAAACAAAAACAAAACGTGAACCCCTTGTTCAGGAGGCTTTGAACCAGATTCCTCTAGAACACGTGGAACAATTCTTCGGATGCCTTCTGCCCATTTGTGGGAGGCGCATGCCTCCTTTGCAAGCAGGGCCGAGCGCGCGCCTCGGCTCGGGCAAGCAGCGCCGCTGCGACCTAGGAGCCAGGGAGGTCGAAAGTTCCGAAAGGTGGGTTGCATCTTATGTATAGACATAGGGGAACGCCAGCCCCTTCCCCAAAAAAAGCAGTTGGCGTTCTTTTTGGTGTCAACCCTTTCCACCAACCAACGAAAAGGGGGTAGTCTACAAAACACGCCCATCGTTTGGGTTATTGCCAACTGCAAACTTGGAAGATCAGAGCGCTGCGAGAACCAGGCCGCGGATGGCTTGAGAAGAAAGTCAGGGGAGCAACCCCATCGAGCACGTGAAGCAAAAGGAAGTCGTAGACCAAAGACCCAACTTGGGGGAGGGGAGGGAGGGGGGTTGGGGTATCTTTAAACTCAAGGCAACACCACCATGCGAAGTTCTTTTTTTTTTTTTTGCGGATTCTTTCGCCCCCCGAGTTTGCCGCCTCGCCCTTCGGCTCTGAGACTGCCGGGCGTTTCGGCGGTCGGAGAGGTCCGTGAAGAGGTCCTGCGCCAGCTTCAGGTCCCCGAGCGCCTCCTCCGCTTCGGCCGCTTCGGCCGATGCACAGGGGCGGGGGTGTGACCCCTTGGGCCTTGAGGCGTGGGGATTCCTGATGTCAAAGAAAACCGAGGGACAAGAATGGTGCGACCAAGGGCCTTGAGGGGCGGGGGGTGAAGGGCTTTGGAATTCCTGTCAAAGAAAGCCGAACAACAAGAATTGATGTCAAGGGAAAAGCAAAGGAAACCAAAGGAAACCTGTCCACGGTTTGATCATCAGACGTTGGTTTTGAGCGGCCGATGGTAAGATTCCCCCAGGACTGAGGGAGCTCGTGCATGGAAGGAAGGTTCGGACGTGTGCCTTGGGAAACCTGTGGAAAGCAACACAGAGGGAGAGAGAAACAGAGACCAGAGAAATACGGAGACAAAGAAACAAAGGAAGAGAGAGCAAGAGAGAGAGAGAGAGAGAAAAAAAAAAGAAGAAAAAAAAAAAAGAGAAATAGAGCACAAGAAATGGAACAAGTCGTTGAGGTACCCGACCCTTGTGGTTTCCCTTCACTATTCAAAACGGGGGAGCTATTTCGAGAAACAGCCAAATGATCCGAATAGGGTTGCGGGTGCCCTAAACCAGATTGTTCCAACGACCCAAGAACAATGGTTTAGTACCTACTCAACCCCCTACCCCCGACAGGTGTAGTTATTTTTCCTTTTGGTTTCCCTTCGAAACCTACCCCAAACAAGGGACATCAACCCCCCCCATGTGTAGTTCTCTTTTTGGTCTCCATTCAAAACCTACCCCCAAAAAAAGGGGCGCCCTCAACCAAAACACACACCCATCCAACATCCTTGGGGTCTCTCTGCAAGCCAGCGGCGCCCTTGGCCAGCAGCGCCCGCGCCTCTCGGTGAGCCACGAACAAGACCAGTAGCTGCAGTGGTTTCATGTAGCCACAAACCAACATAGCCCGGAAATGGCGCTTGAAGCCGGGTAGAAACCAAACAAGAACGGTACTTGCAGAGTTGTTTCATGTCAAATCTAAAAGTTAGGTGACGGTCCATAGCAAAGGCAACCGGATGGATTACAACACGACACCAAATGCATTGAACATCCAAGCCCCACGGGCATAGGCCGTGCCAGAATAGCTTCCCATTTAACCTCACCTCATTATTCTCCCTTTATCAAGGTCACCCCTAAAGTGATGCGTTGAAGGAAATAATGAGTTTGATAACCCCAGAAACAGTCAAAATAAGAATCTATTTCGCAGCCCGGCCCTCTCCGCCTCCAGACTCCGGACATCCAGCGCCGCTTTCCGTGCCGTTCCCAGCGCCTGCTCGGCCAGCGCGTGGGCCCGCGCGGCCTGGGGGCATGGCTACAGAGCGCCTCCCACTCCTGGCCGCGTTTTGGCCTCCTTTTGGGCGTCGTTTTTTGGAGTTGGTGCCCTTTTCTTGTGGTTTTAATGAGGAAACCGGAAGGAAACTTTTAAAGGGGAAACCGACAGGAAACCCGAAGCCATTTTTTGCGGGTCCCTAAACAAAAAGACACACCCTGTTGGGCCGTGCGCATGGCACAACTCCCTTACTCTGAGATGCGCAATCAAGTCTTCTTTGGAGCTTACTTTGGTAAGCCCCAGTTCGCAAGACACAAGGTACGTCCATGAGGCTTGAGTGTTATGATGTCCAATTCTGTCCGGCCCCCCTGGCTATGGGTTCAATATCCATTTATGTTCAACCAACGAGGCCTCCCAGAGAAAACCTTGGCTCAAATGCGGGTGAAACACGGCAAGTTGCCCTTACTTTGGGGGTTCAAAGGGAAGGCCCTGCATTGTGTGCGTCAGAATCAAATTGCTGGATGTAAGCGGCGTAAAACCCTCCTTGCATGTGTATCCCCCGGACCAATAATAGCGACGCAACTAGAGTGAGTGATGTCACCCGCGTTCTTTGTTTTGGGTCGGTGAATTCTTCTGCGTTGCTGAGAGTCATCATGTAGGCCAACCACACCAACAATTCACCTTCCCCAGCCCAAATTCCTAGTACCCCATCCCAAAACTCATCCTTGGATGTGTATTTCTAGTCCCCCATCCTGATACCCGAAAACACGGACACCTAAGATGGGAGAGACCCCCCCGTTCGTGTGCCGCTTTTGAGTCGGAAAATCAAGAAACCCCATCCACGAGGTGAGCTGCCCTCCCCAGGGAAGCCCACTTCAAACGGCGCCACAATGTCACCCAAAAAGCGCCGACGCCGCGCAGGAAACACATCCCAAAAAACGCGACGCGGTGGACAAATTTCAGCGCCGGGCCCAGGCATCCAGCGAGCTCCGCTGGGCTGTGTCCTCGGACGCGTGGACTCAGAAACACCCAAGGGCCTTGGTCCAAACCCCCAACCGAATTGGGAGGGTATATGGCCATGAGTCAAAATCCAAATCGTACCCCCGGTGAACATGCCAATCCCCACTAAAATAGGTTCTAAAATGGGTGGTGAATTCACCTAGCCCAAAATGATGCCATTGGTTTTAACCCACAGCCCTCTGGGGTTCAAGATGGGTTTGTATTCTTTTGAGGTTTTGTTGCCTTTCTTTGCTTGCCAAACGACCATGTGCCATGTGATTTGTACGAACTCCTATTTTGACACATACCCATACTGTGACCCCCGTTTACAGAGGGCCGATGCATATCAAGGCTAGGGCCCGATACTCCAACTCTCTGACAAGCAAAGGCGCCAAACGTCTAAGTGCCCAAGTAACCTAGGCTCCACAACAAAGAGCCCCTTGAAAGCGGGCCGAAGGGGCAAAACTAAAAAGGCCCCCTACGTCTGACAACTCCCCAATTGCCCAATTGCAGTTTCCAAACAACAGCAACCCAACCAAAACCCCATCCCAGAATGAAACCCGTGCCCCAAATCCCAGCCAAGAATGACATAAAACCCCTGCCCCACGCTACCAACTCCCAGCCCACTTCGCCTGGCGCTGCTTGCACCGCACCAGGTGGGCCTCCGAGGCAAACACCAGGGCCTCCGCCTCGACAAACGGGCGGTTGTTTTTTTTGGTGTGTGTGTGTGTGTTGTGTGTTTCTTTCTTTTCTGGTGGGATGCGTCACGTAACGCAGAAGACTCTTGATGTTGACCCCAGATTAATAAACCCCCGTTTGTTGTCCTCGGTTCTAGTGGTGATTCAGACCACTTTTGGAGGGAACACCCCCACATGAATAAACAAGGGTTTATTAATCCGGGGTAAACATTAAACAAGCGGGTTCTCCCTTTTCCCTTGAACCCAAACATACACTCACAGAAACACACCCTCCGTTGGACATCCCTGGATGATGGCAAAAGAAAAGAAACTGGGTGAGACCAAGCATTGTGCTGCTAAGCACCGAGTTTAAAAACAAACGTCGCATGCCAGGCTTATTCCAAAGACAATCATGAAGCTCTGGCAAAAAGAATGTGCAAAGAGGAATCTCCTTTTTGGAGCTCTATTCTAACGTGCAGACCTCAGTCGCCGCCGTAAACCTGAAAACAAAGGGGCTAGACACGGAAGCAAGAGGGCTTGCGGGCTCCCTCAGCAATTGCCCGCGAAGCTTGCAGAGGGAACATGATGTCGAAAGAGGTCCCACAGGCAACAAATGCATGCAATTCGATCTCGTCCAACAAGGGGATCCTCCAAATCAGCCGGATGTGTTGGTCAACATGGCCAAAAGGTACCCTTGGGAACCCTGTCAACCAAGGAGTACATCCACAGCACGGGGCCCCCGACTGCCTGGTGCCAGCTGCCGGCTGCCGCCAAGCGATCCGCAGCCTCCTGAGGAACGAGCCAACCCAAGCGAGGCCTACCCTCCCACCAGCCAACATGGAAGTGCAAGAAGGCCCTTTCCAAGAGGAAAGTGGTCCTTCTACAGGGGTCTGTGCACAAACCCATGTTAGCTGGTGGGAGGGTATCTCTTTTGTCTCCTGGAGAATCTGAGATTGGGGTTCCAAGTACCTTCTGGACGGTGTAGTGTTGAAAGGAGTAGCTTCTTTGGGGACGCCTGCTTGCACTGGGACCCTATATGCAGCTACAATAGGGTTGAGGACCCATCACTATCAACCGCAAGTGAGTCATAATCAAAACCCGGCTCTAAATGGTCGACCCAGAACCATCTAAAGAAATAAGAAGGTGGCCGGAGCTATTTATGGCTGGGATTGTCCCTTATTAAGCTTCACTTACCCGGGTTTTGATTGTGACTCAAGTGATTGGCAGTTTTCACCCACGTCTTCAACTGGCTAACCTCCGCTTTCCGGAGAGCCCGGCCTGCAAGATGGGCCCATGGGCACGGTTCGGGTCATTGCGGGTGATCTGGCTTGTGGAAAGTGTCAAAGCGGTCCGCCAAAACGGGGGCGGTGTTGACTGCCCAGCTCCAATCGCTGCATGATCCACCTGCCTGGTATTAGACACTCTGGGCTTGGCACACATCCGGGTTCGCGAGCTGTCTCTCATGTTGAAGCACTGCAACTTACATATCCTACACCAGCCCGACAAGACAAAACTGCTTACAGCCATCCTTCAAGGGGCAAAGGACCCACAACAAGATTCCTCAAAAGCCGGCGCCTGTTGTGGGGAGTGCACTCTCCCCACAGCTGGGTTGCCTTGAAACTGGCGGCTTTTTTTTGTAGGGAGTCCCAGGTTCATCTGCAGAGTTCCGGGTGAATTATAATATTTCACCAACCTGAAATAAGGTGGTTGGGGGGCTATTCCCCACATAAACCACCATTTGGGGTGAGGTTGTTTGAGCTCGTTATAATTCACCCAGTCAGAGTTTAGGGACCATGGACAGTCTGCACATCTTCCGCAGTCCTCGGCGGCCTGCGCCGCCTGATAAAACTCCAAGGTACCAGCTGCGTCGTCCCATGGGTCAAAACTAAACCACCAGGGGACCAGGTGTTAATCTTTGGTTCCATTTACCAGGGTTCCATTTGCGTACCCATTTGTGAGCCACAGCCATGTCAATGAAGTCCGCTTGGTAAATGGAACCACAAGAATTCGCTGGTACTGCAATCCTCCCAGGACAAATCCGCTATCAGGGGCATTGCTTCAAACCGAGCAAGCCACAAATCGGGATTCAGCATTTCTGAGGTTCCAGCCAACAACACCACTGCCCTCCTGGGTGGGTATGCAACTGCTCCCGGAAGCAAAACAACATCCGCTATAAGTGTTCCCCCAAAAGAAACCATTACTTGGCTCGGATGTGTGAAACACCTGGTGGAAACTGGGCTTTGCAGAGTTTAGCTGTTACCGCCAAGCTAATGGTTCGTCCAGGGCAGAAAGCCCTCCTCCATAATCTTTGCAAAGCACGTTTGGCTCAGCTCAACCGCGTCAAGGGGGGTGATTTTGGTACGCGCCTGGAATACCTTTCCCGGGCTTGTTTGCACTTTTTTTCTGGCAGGACCAGGCTCAGGACATGGACCCATAGGCATCTTCCGGCATGGCGTGGCATCGGGGTCATCCGAGACATTTTGTTGGGCGAGGTCTACAATTCTGCTTTCTCATTGCCGCTTTGCTCGGGCGAAATGTTGACTTAGACAAACATGACACTTTTTCATTGCAGGGTTGCTTCTTGAATGTTGACTTGGACAAACATGGCATTGCCTGGTTGCCTGGCGGCTTGTGTTGCTGCGTGCCTCTCGATGGATCCCTTTCATCTTCGAAGCCTTCGAGGCTCTTTGGAGAAACCGAGCCCCACTGGGGAAAAAAACACCGATTTTTTGAGAGTAGAACTTCTTCTTGGTCGCGCAGCCAACCTTGAGAATCTATTGGCAGGGCCAGTGAATTGTGCAGGCAGAAGGATTGGTAACGGGTTCCCGGACGGTGATATTTCAGGCGCGCGCCTTGATTTTGCCACAGGTCCATTCTAAGGCCAAGCATTGAACAAAGAATAAGCCGAGGCGGTATCCCCAACAGCCCGGAAAGTCCTGGTCCCGCCCTGAAAGCTACCCCAAATCCAAACCATCCAGAGCCTATCTGGGCAGCTGTTGGGGGATTCAAAAAAGAACAAACGACCCAAGACACCAAGAATGTCCCCCTCCGCGCCGCTGCAAACAGCCACAAACACCGAAACGCCTGGATTCACAGCAGCTTATATTTTGAAAACAGGATCTCTACGCAGTCAAAGGCTCTATTTTTTTTTTTGCTGAGGCCAGCTACCTATGTAAAGCGACATTGGCTAAGCATCAACTCCTTCTGGTGTCCCTTTCAAGGGCTCCAAGGCATTGTTCGCTAAGCCAATGCTACTGGGCAAATAAGGATAGCTCGCCAACCTACTGAGACATTTGTGGCAGAACCTTCCTCATGTGTGAAATTGGTTAAAACATTGTTCAATGTTGGTAAAGGGAACAACCATCCAAGTTGCTTCTGTCCCACAGACAACCACCAATTTTTAGCCACCCCAACCTTTTGTTGGACCTCCTCCCCCGAACCACCCCACCACCCCACCACCCCCACCGCCCCACCACCCCCACCACCCCGCCTGCACCCCCCGCACCCTCCACTCGCCTGCTGCAGCTGCCCGTTTCGACGCAGCGCCTCCGCCAAGAGCCGCACGCCCAGGCCGGCGCAGCTTCCGCCCTACCGCAGCTCGGGCTTGGGGCTTGGGGCTTCGGGTGTCCTTGCTGGTGCGCTAGGTAGGTCCTCCAGAGAGGATAGAATTTTTGGGTACCCGATGTTTTTTCTGCAGGAACACTCCCCAAAAAAAGAAATGGTAAAAGGGCACTACAGGGGGACCTAGATTGGAAGGGAGTGAGAAATGGAATGAACCCAGGGGTCCGGGGTCCCCTTAAAGAAACCACCACCAGTTGGATGGTTTGTGGGGGTCATCCCATTTCTCATTCCCTGCTGAGCACCAGCAAGTTTCGGGCGAGGGTGCGTCTGGGGACTCAGTCGTTGGGATCTGCTTGTGGTGGCGGTTCTGTTTGTGTGTGAGTGCGTTGCGCTGATGGTTGTTGTGGTGTATTTGTTGGGTGGAATAGAACAAAGAGCAAAAAAAAACACGCAGCTACCGCTGGCTCTCAGGGCTCCGCCACTCCAACCAAGAGCTGACTCGAAGCTGAAGAGTTGAAGCGGCTGCAGCGACCCGAAATTGCCACTTTGGGTGAGTGAGCAAAGAGAAGCTGCCCATCTAAACTCAGATGCCCAGTGGCCATGGGAAGAAAGGGCATCCTTTTTATTGTTGGTTGATTTTGAAGGGGAACCCCTCCAAAAAAAAAAAGGAAAACGGGTACCACTGGGCAACTGGGTAAACCTCAGAAGTAAAGAGTACAAGCTGTACCCCCAAACATAGAACACACCTAGACACACCTAAGGTTTTCTCTTGGTAAGCGTTTCGCTGTTCCATGATTAGTGGCAACTGCCCTATTTAAAGGGAGAGGGGGGGTCGGGGGCTTCCAATTCCATTGAGCTTGTCCAAAGGGTGGCTTCCTTTCAGGGGACCCAAACTGGTGGCCACGCAGCGCAAAGGTTCTACTGATGAGCTCCGTGTCCAGATCGGACAAGTTGTGGGCAAACCCGGGCCGCTGCAGCCCATGCCATACAAACACTTTGTTGTCTGTGCCCGCGCGCTTCAACATGGCGACCACCCCCCGGGCCGCTTCGGGCCCCTGAGAACCAGCAAAATCAACCCTTACATCGTCTCTTCCAGGCAGGGGGTGGTCAAACATAAAGGGCCCCGTTTTGGTATCCCCTTCGGCTGCACCTAGTGGCAGAGGAGCTTCTGTCAGGCGAAAGTGGGGCCTCCCTCTTTCTGCGCCAAAAAAGAATCTCCGTTCGATGGGAAAGCGCGCCTCTTTGATGACCAAAAGATCTTGCGAGGCGGAACCGCCAAAGACCGGCCACGTGGGGTTTTCCCGAAAGGGGGCGCCGCTACCAACTTGGTGGCGAGGAAACATGTGTTGTTTGGCTTCCCTTCAAGACATGGGCGCTACGAGGCCACAAATATCAGAATGAGGTTTGAAACTGAGGCACGATCGCCTTTGGCCTCTTCATCTCCTAGAATCGCTTTTTGGCCTCTTCGTCTCCTGGAACCGCTTTTTGGTCTCTCTTTTTTTGGCGTCCTTTCCAAACCATCCCAAAACCAGAGGAAAAGAAGCCAAGGAAGCCAAAGAAGCCCAGTCGCCTCTTCGTCCTCCTATCGAAACCTCTTTTTGGCTTCTAAAAACGCCGCGGAGACTGCAGACCTCCGCCCGCCTCCGAGATCTTCGCCGCCAGGCTCGCGGCCTGCACCTCAGGCCACAAGGTGGCAATTGTGACAGGGGCCCTACAAAAGTGGCGCGTGCCTTGCTGCGCTGGTGTCCGTAAGAAAAAAAGGTCGGCCTCAAGAAGAGGAATTCTCGGTTTGTGGGCAGAGCAGAAAAGTGGGGCGTGGTTCTGCAGGATTTCGCTTTTCTGGAAGAGATGACCCCTTGAAAAATCGCTGCCTTCACGGTGTGTTTCGGTTGATGCTCTTTCTAATCTTGGTTCAAAGGGGAAAGCTGTCGGGCTTCCCCGCCATTTTTCAAAACCCCTTTGACACATACCCAAGCTTTTGTCGACTACCCAATGGGAGCCGCCACTTCGCCTCCCGCCGCAAAACCCGCAGGCGCTCACCTTGCTGGGCACCCACGCCGCGGCCTCTTTGCCCAGGAGCGCCACCGCCAGCAGTCGCAGCGCTGCGGCCTGCAAGGCGAGTCACAGGAAAAACCGCCCGGAAACCCCCGGAAGGCCCTCGTGAGATATTGCTGGATTGAGTGGCTCTTCCCGCAAAGTCCAGAAAAGTTAAACTGTGTGCAGGTTCGCAGGAAATCCGGTCGCTTCCAAAAGAGCAAAAGATTGATGTGAAGACTGGCAATGCTTGAAGCACGGCAGCCTGTTCGAGATGGCACGGTGGATACCAACGGAATATTGAGAGCACATAAACCGGGTCCCTTGAAAGGGACAATAGTCTTCCAGGACCCCTCACTCAGGTTGCATCTTAGCGGACAGGAGGGTAACATGCGGAAAACAATAGGGTTTCCCCTTTTCCCCTCTTGCAAGATTAAGTTGGCGAGTACTTAGAACATCAACCGTTCCCCAAAACACCCCACCCTCCACCCACTCCCCACCCCATTAAGCCGCCAGTTTGACTAGTCCAACTTATGAACCTTTGTATTGACAACCCGCCTAGTTGGAAACCCATGATTGGAAAGCAAACACCTTTGATTCCCGAGGAATCAAGCCACATGTCATACATATGTCACTTCGTGAGTGGATGGGCCACCACCATGGTCTTGCCAAAAAGCTTGAAGTCCAAGAACTCCAGGAGTGAAATCTTGCATTTTTCGCCCCCCCACCCCCACCCCTTTCTTCCGCCCTTCCACAACGCCTGGCCCAGCTCGTCGCCTTGGCTCCTGGGCCGTGTCAAACCAAGGCCGCAGGCCTCAAAAGCTCAAAAGGGAAAGCCTGGTGGGCGACGTTTTGTGTTGTTTTTCTGTCTGGGGGGGGGGGGGGTAACTTAAATTAAGAGGAAGCCGACATGAAAAGGAGAAATCCCACACTGCGGATGTGTATATATAAATATATGTATATATATATATATATATATATACGTATCAAAAAAATGATCAGATGATGCGCGCCCATATTCTGTGAAGCTTCTAGGTTTCCTGCGTGTTTGGCCTCAAACACTTGCCCGGAAATGGCTGGCTTTTGAAAGAACGATGGATGGCGAAAGAAAACAACCGTGCCAAAGGAAGTCCCCAGCAATCATGCGGACCCCCTGGTGTACATGTTCCCTCCCAAGAAAGAGTCGGGAAAAATTGAGATGTCCCGTCTAGGTTCGGAGATGTCCCCAGCAAAAACGACAGGCTCGGTGCCCTTTTTCGGGTTTCCCTGTTGCTTCCCCACCCATCGACCCAGCCACCCAACCAGCGTCCTGAAGTGGAAGGCCCCCGTCTTCGCCGCCGCCGCGGCCTGGGAGGAGTCGCCCACCGCCTCGAGGCTCCAGGAAGGGCACACGCCCCCTTTAAGGAAAATAACAAAACGGCGGGTGGCGTTTGTTCGCTTTGACACTTCAAAAAACCCGCCAAGAATGGGAAGTCTCACTTTTTCGGAGGAAAATACTAGTGCGGGGCACTTGAAGAATGTGTGTCATGATCATAGGAGAAAATGGACAGTACTTAGCCCCACATATTCTCAGTTCCTGAGTGAATTGGCCAAAATGTCCTTTCCAAACAGCACAAGGCACGTTCAAGTTTAAGGTGTACCCTCTTGGGTAGTGTTCCGTGGAATCAAAAAAACCAACAAATCCCCTTCTTGGGCTTGCACCATATCCAATTTGGACCCAAACGCGGCGAAAATTGGCGGAAAACGCGTTGGCTCGGCTCCCCCGCGAGGCTTGCTTCCGCAGCCAGCAGGTAGACAAAGCCCTGCCGGGCGCGCATCCAGCTTCCCGGCGAGCCATGGGACAATGACTCCCATGAAAAACGATCCAGTCCAGCGCCAATTGGGATGAAACAAAACTGGAAAACCTTGGATATCCAACCGAGCAACGCCAGAAAGAAGCTCAGGTTTAATTTGTTGCCCGACAGGTGACGTTTCAAACTCCAAAAGGAAGGAAGTGTGCAAAGTTGTTTTTCAAAGCCTCGTGATGAGTCTCTATTCAAGGATTCATGACCATCCCTGATCAAACAAAAAGTATCGCGCTGCCGAAATAGAAACCCAGAGAAGCCAACCCAGATTGAAAAGGATCTCTCTTGCCAAAGATGGCTGGTGCGTCCATTTGTTGGACTGGAAAAGCACCCTAGTTTATTGGTTGAGTGGCTTCAAGGGAACAATTGGAGCAAAGTTTGACAAACAATAGCCCCCTCCGGAGCCCTCCCTGGAAGCAGCCCCAAACCACCCCAGAGCTTATCTGCGCAGAGACCCCATATATTGCTTCAGCTGTTGGGGAATCGCAGAAACTGGGGAAGTGAGTCTATCAAACTATTCTCACCTCACCAAAGGAAGGTTGGCGCTGTGCTTTCGCCCAAGTGTCAAGTGTTCGTGGCCAACGGTTTGAACCGGTCTTCACCGGTCTTAAGCAAGGACTGATGTGGAGCTGTCTTAACCCAGCAGAAGGCCCGAAAATGGGTGATTTCGCTTTAGTGTCCCTTTAGAACTGCCCAATGCAGTTGTGTCCTTCATTCATGGTACCCTTTTTTTGGGGTGGGTATTAAAGGCCAAGAAAGGGAACACCCATGTACCATCAAACAAGGCACCCCCAACGAGGCTCTGCCTCTCCACTGCACCGCAGTGAGGCTTGCGCCTGGCTGCAACGGACCTTTCTTGGGCACATGGATGTGAACCACCTTGTTTGGTTGGTGTAAAAGAACAAAAATGGACACCAACCATATTTGGGGGCCCCCTATTCTGGCACATACCCCGTTGCAACCAGTGACCCGTTCAGTAGGAACAGAACTGCAGGTCTCTCCGTATTTCCGAATCAATTGAATTTGTTTTGAGAGGAAACGGGAGCCCAAAAAAGGGTCCAGATTGTCTCCTTTTGGCTTCCAGAAGCCCCATTCAGGACTTGCCAGGCTGCCGAAGATTACATTTTGAACTACCCGAACATGGGCACTCAAATCGCCAGTTCAACTTGAGCGGCCCATCAGTATGGACAAAGCTGGATGAGGTACTTGGATCAAGAGCTACTGTTATGTAAAAACAAAAAAAAAAACCTTGGCTGTATACTAGTCATAGTCATTAGATGGGAGACATAGTTTTGGGCCATTAGGACAAACCCTCAGCAGTGTGTGACACCAGTCCTTGATTTGAGTGGCAAGGGCAGGGTTCATTCTGGACAGCCCAAGGTAGACTCCATTTTGGGAAATCAACTACTTCCCTGGATCACCTAGTTCATAGTGCCCAAACTCGGTCCTTCGACCTCCAGGAGAGCTCGCCAGCATGAGCGGGCAAAAACCCTGAGATGAACACGTCCCACCTCAGCCACACACTGGGCCAGCTCCGCGTGCGATGCGCCTGTCAGAAGAACACCAGATGAGGAGCTAAGGCAAGCCCAGGTGGCCTTGGGGGGGGTGCACAAAGCCTTCAAAAGTGTTTAACATCAAAAACACCCAAGTGGGAGGGACACAAACCAAAATTTGGCCTTGGAGGTTACACCCGAAATGGGAGGGACAAACAAAGGACCTTGGGTTCTTTCTTCACACACACACACACACCCAATCCCACTTCCCCCCTTTAAAAAACCCACCCGATCCTTCTCGCGCCTGCCGCCAGCTTTGCCCTGGCAAAGGCCAGGGAGGCGGACGCCTGCAAAAACGACAAACGCCGCGAGGTGAAACCAGGGCCTGGCCGGCAACGTCCGGACTTCTTTCATCTTCCAAAAGGTCAGGTTCAAGGTTCTACATCCGAACTTCTGTTGTCTTCCAAGACTTCCCAAAAAGGATGGAGGTTCAAGATTCAAGGTGCCAAGGTGCCAGGTAGGTCGCACGGCTCCACATCCGACCTTTCAAAAACTTCCCAACTGGGACGGCTTTCAAGGGGGTCAAGGAACAAATGCCGCGGCGGTTCTACAGGAGCGAACTCCAAATCAAACGCCTGGCATCCAAATCGGACATAAATTGCTTAACCTTGAGGTCGCTTTGTTCAGGTGAGCAAGGGGCAAGCGCCACACTTGTTTCCCCCAAGAGGACATGAGAAAATTGGGGGCGGAAAAAATCACCTTTACTACGATGTCATACCCATGACCACTTTATCACTTCAAAAAGGGCTCCTGACATGAGCATTGCCATACTTTGGGCGTGTCTCAAAATAGAAGACCTTCAAACTGACCCCAAAATGGATGGCTTCCGTTCGCCGTTCCTTTCCATTCCGCGCGCCCGCCCCGACGGTCACCCGCCCACGCCTCGCGCGCGGGCGAACCCGAAACCGCGCCGCTCGGAACGAGCCGAGCCTGGCGGTTCGGTGGCTTCCGGTGGCTTCCAGGGGGGTGGGAGCGCGGCCATGGGTGCACATCCGATTCAATCCAACCACTAAGACAGGTTCTAACATGGGTGGTGAATTCACCCACCCGAAAATGGGATCCCAAAACGGTTTTGACCCACAGCCATATGATTTGCAGCCCAAGGACAGCCCAAAGTCACTCTGCGCAAGCGGCACTGGAATTTGCTAGAGCGATGAAGCTCTTGTTGCTAGATGTGACCTCAAAGTACTCTTTGAAAGATTACGTGGCATGAACCTGCCTGCCGTCTTCCCATTTCGCTTCAAGATGGAGGTTCAAGTCCTCAGTTTCCACCAATCCAAACCACGCCTGAGAGGGCCTCTTAGGAGAAAGCTTTGGCAAATCCTCGGAAAGGTGATCGAACTTCTCTTGCAGGCCAAAGCCGAGTTTCCCTCTCCAGGCCAAAGCCAATGGCAAGACTTGAACTTCAGCATCTGAAGGCTTCTTTTAGCCCACTGCATGTAGGCAGCTAGCCTGTGTCGGCAGACAACAACTCCATACGTACCACGCAAGCGCCGGCACGCCGTGTCATCACCACCAGCAGCGACGTGCAGCTGGAAGTGCCCCTACAATATGTCACGCTCGCCAGCAGCTCCGTGCAACAAAGCCCTGAAACGGAACCCATCCTTCAATGTCCTGCATCATGCTCGCCGGCACCATCACGCAACAAAACCCTGCAAGTCCCGTTGTTGCATCATGCTCGCCAACAGCACAATGCAATAGCACCCTGCAATGGCACCCGTCCTGCGTCACGGTCTAGCGCAGTGCACAGCGCTCTGCATCCTGCCTCACGCTCGCCAGCAAAACAAACTGGGCCTTGGCGCCGGTGTGCTGCGCACACTCACCAGCAGCCATGGCAGCCATCCTGCGCATCACCCTGCCATCGCCGAGCACCGCAACAGCACCTACGGCCACCGCTGGCAAGCAGCACCATGCTACAAGTCCCTGCGTCCTCTATCGACCTGCAGCAGCACCCTGCACCCAAAACTTCGCGTCACCCCCCACCTGCCCCACCTGCTTTACTTTTAACTGTGGGGAAAGGACAAATTATTAGCTTGGCCCATATGTGTGGATTCGGACAATACAGGTTCAGCGCTTGGGTACAAGCTCCTATAGTTTCAGCATGCACCTGGACCCCCGCCTCCACGGCGAAATCCAGCGCGCCCACCGTGTCGCCTCGGCGGCAATCGATGGGTTGGGAGTCCAGTTTCTCTTCACCCGTTCTTTCACCGCTCAAACTAGCTGAGGGTTGTGTTGAAGATAGTGTGCTTTCGAAGGGAATCGGCAGAAACCATTCAAGCTGCCCGGGATCTTGGCCATCTGTTCAAAAGAAGTATCTCGGATACAGTATCCCGGAAAGAAAATTGGGACGTGGAGGACATGGCCTTCATTGCAGTCACTGCGTTGGGATGGCCGCTGGACTGCTGAAACTGCTCACCCTGGATACAAAGGCGAGCAGTAGCCAGCTGAGAAAAGAAAAGCGAGCCGCTCCTATGGAGCCAGGGAGTTTGCGAATGGGTTCTTGCTAGACTGTGTCAGAGAGTGTAACCAGGTACACCCAAACAAGGGAATGGCCTTCTCGGAGTTCCCCTTTGCTGACTAGCAAGAAACCAAATCAAGCAACCCACTTCTGCTGGTTGACGAAACCAACCAAAAAAATGAAGAAGTCCGCATCCAACCAAAACCAAAAGTGGGATGCAGGGTTTTGTTGCTTGACTTTGTTGCATCCCCAAAAAAAGGCAGAAGGCCGCCCCTGTGGGAAAACCGCACCCAGTCCCAGCAAGGCAACTCGAAGCCTCGTTGAGCTGCTGGCCCCATAGCCGGTGCACCTCCGAGAGGATCAGCTCGGGGCCCTCCGGGAGGGGATTAAAAGTCCTTTACGTGGCTGTGGCTCAAAAGCATGTGGGCTTGCATAAAGCCCCCCCATCCTTCCCCAGCTACTTTTTTGACGTTGTCTTTTTTTTCCTCCTTATCGAAAATGGAAACCCTTGGCACAGCCTTGGCACAGCCTTGGCACAGCCTTGGCACAGCCTTGGCACAGCCTTGGCACAGCCTTGGCACAGCCTTGACCCTTTCCGTACCAAAATGGCACCCTTGGCAAATGGAACCATAGGCTAAAACCTGCGGTTTGCCCTAGCTCTTCTATTTTGAGCCACCGCCACATTGAGAAACCGAGGAGAACTTGGTTTCTCCACGTGCGAAAAGCATCCGACTCAAAAAGTCCCAGTTTGGGATCGGCTGATAGGCAGTCAGCGGGGTCCAGAAAAAGGATTCTGACACGCGAAACCAAAGGGAAGGCAGGTTTGGAAGTGTGGCGTGTCATTCTCTTCGCAATTCCAACTGAAGAAAAAGACAAAAAGATCATCGCCTTTCACAACCTTTTCAAACTTCCAGGTGCCAGCCGGGGATACGACTCAGATTCGAATCGAGCTGTACCCCCCCCCCCGAACCGGCGACCGATTTTATGACCCTGGGTTGGGTGGTCTCTCAAGACAGCGATGGGTGAAAAGAACGGGGGGTCAACCTTTGGAAGGCGGGCACGAAGGGAACCCCAAAAAAGCAACAACAACTAGAGGACGATTGGCCCGAAAGCATTTTTCCCCAGGTGCTCATCCAGCCGCGGAGACACCTTTTTACATCGCTGCGGCGAGCGTGTCCGCGCGCGGCGATGCTCAATGTGTATGGTCACATGAGAGCTCCATCTCATCGTCCTACGAGAAGAAACCTGGCAGTGCTCGATCCCACATATTTACATCCGCTAAAACAAGAAGAGTAAAGCTCGTAAAGCTCGAAACGAAGTACAAGCAAAAGGAAAAGCAATCAATAGCAAAGCTTACACGACGGCCACAGTTTCTGCAAAGCACGCTCGCGCAACTTAGCTCTGTGCAAGATGGCTCTGCGCAGCTTGGCTCTGTGAAAGTTGGGTCTACGCAAGCTACTTTTCGCGAGTGGCTCTGCGCAACTGGCTCTGTGCAAGTTGGCGCTGCACGAGTCTGCTCGGCGCAATGTGCTTTGCACGAACTGCGCCGCGCGATTTCTCACGAAAGTGGTCTGCGCAAGCTGCATTGTTCCAGGCTGCTGCGCGCAAGTAGCTGCTGCACGCAAGCGCTCTATGCAAGTTGCTCTGCGCAAGTGCTCCGAGCAAGTTGCTCTGCGCAAGTGCTCTGCGCCAGTTGCTCCGTGCAAGCGCTTTGCGCATGTGCTCTGTGCAAGTTGGTCTGTGCAAGTTGCTCTGCGCAAGTGCTTTGCGCAAGTGCTCTGTGCAAGTTGCTCTGCGCAAGTTGCTCTGCGCAAGTGACTCTGCGCAAGTTGCTCTGAGAAAGTGTGCCGGAGCTGTGGGAATGTACTTCGCGTACGATTTTTTGCACTTAACAGTTGCGATTTTCCAGCCGGAGCTGCGGGAGTGTGCTCCGCGTACACAGCGAGAGCGATGCGACACGCATGATCCCCGCAGAGGGTTCATCGGGCTCAAGACAGATTCGCACGGGACCACAGCAAGAGCGATCCGACACGCACGATCCCCGCAGAGGGTTCATCGGGCTCAAGACAGATTCGCACGGGACCACAGCGACAGCGCTTCGACACGCACGATCTCCGCAGAGGGTTCGCCGCGGTCAAGACAAATTCGCACGGGAGCACAGCGACAGCGCTTCGACACGCACGATCTCCGCAGAGGGTTCGCCGCGGTCAAGACAAATTCGCACGGCGCCACAGCGAGAGCGCTTCGACACGCCCGATCTCCGCAGAGGGTTCGCCGCGGTCAAGACAAATTCGCACGGCGCCACAGCGACAGCGCTTCGACGCGTCGCCGCGGTCAAGACAAATTCGCACGGCGCCACAGCGAGAGCGCTTCGACACGCACGATCTCCGCAGAGGGTACGTTTCGCAAGCTCCCGTCGGGCCTACCCCCGCCAGAAAAAGAAGAAGAATTAAGAGTCGAGATGTGAAGGTAGAAAAGAAAAGTTAGCTTGTGTTTTTAGGATAATGAGATAACACCCGAAAAGTTGACATGAGAAGTTGGCTGGTGAAGTAACTCTCGAAAAGCTGGCATGAGAAGTTGGCTGGTGAAGTGACTCTCGAAAAGTTGGCATGAGAAGCTGGCAGATGAAATAGCTCTCGAAAAGTTGGCATGAGAAGTTGGCAGGTGAAGTAACTCTCGACAAGTTGGCATGAGAAATTGGCAGGTGAAGTTCGCAGCCGCTTTTAGAAGAAGAACCCTTCGCAATGCTTCCGGGAAAAAAAGGGGAACTAATTCTGGGGAAGCTTTGGGGTCCTCACAGAAATCTCCCACGAGCCTCCAGCAACTCCGCGAGGTCTCGTGCCTGCAGGGGATGGGGTCATGCCCCCACCAAAAATGAGGGAGGTAGGATGGAGGTCCCAAATCCGAAGCGGGTTGAGGGTCCCAAATTCCATTAGATACCTCCAATGTTGCACTTGTGCGGACCCTACTTCATCAAGGAAAAAAATGAAGCCCGCAACAAAAGCAGCCCTCCTGGGGTCGCCCTTTGGAGCCGGGCCGGCGTCCTCAAATTCAGAGGCCGGAAATCTCAGGTATGGGCTTGGGTCATGCATGTATGGGTATACACTGCCAGCCGATATGCCGATATGGGTGGTTGTTTCAGCCTTCCTCTACAATCCGCCCTGAAAGGATCCTACCAAGTCGATAGGGATACCTCGCTTGCAAACCCACCAAGTGGATGGTCCCACCAGGTGACCTTCTGAATGGGGTGCTCATTGTGACACGTGCTCTGATATTCTAGTGAGATCCTCCCAGCCAAGCGGTGTCCTTTGATGGCACGTTTGGAAAACCATCCCACCCATCCACCCGCCCATCCCGCCCAACCAAGCCGCAGACAGAGCTCTGCCTTTTTTATCCCAGTCGGGGCGGTCGACCACATCAGCCAAACTCGGAATGATGATGGTTGGAAACCCGAGTGGAAACGTTGGAAACCTGACGGTGTTGGCTGATCTTTGAAGCTCTGCTTGTGCAGGAAGGTGATTCCTTCCTCGTTCGCTTCAGGCTTCACCACCTGTTTCAGTGCTCGGCACCTTTGGTTGATCTGCAGACCGGTGACACATGCGCTATCCCCTTGCGGAAGGCGCGTCGAGCGAGCCTCGCCGTTGTGAGACCACCCAGAACCCCGTCAAGAACGGGGTCCGGGAGGAACCAGGCAATGGATTCACAGCAGGCTCGGTGAAACGCAGGAAGTTCCTATCTTTCCCCTAGCTCCACCACAGGAACCTCGCTTTGGGGTTTAAAGGCTGATGCTTAAAACCACCAAGCAATAGGGACCCCTGAAACCTCGCCGCACGGAAGATGACTCGGGCGATTTCGATCAGCCCTCCGCCTTTTCCTTGGAGCCGCAAAAGGCGAGCGCGCCCAGGAAAAGGCACAAAACGGGGCCAAAAGGCTGGCCCTTCATTATAATGTTGTCCCCATATTATAATGAAAGGGGGTCCCTGGCTTAGTGGGAAATCATCACTTTTGGAGGGCGACACCCCCATACGGATGAATTGGGGTTGATTAATATGCGCTCAACATTACCCTTCAAAAGGGGGTCACAGAATGGTCCACAAGACAGGCATCCCCTTTTCCCATGACCCTCATGTCTTGTGGCAAGAGCACTACCATGGCTGCGAGGGAACATCCAAGTGCTGAGACCTATCATTTTAGGCACGAGGATAAGCTATTGTGAAAAAAAATAGGTGTGAGAATGCATGATCACCTATTAGAGTGGCAACTGACTGTCCCCGGGACCGCCTTTTTGCGAGCACCAGACCCTGTCGCCCCGAAACGAGGTCCTGAATATGCGACCCTGCGCCAGTCGCGGAGTTTGAAGGGTCTTCCCATTCCAGGATCAATTCATGCGTGTGGTCGAAATACTCCGTTTCCATAAACGGACTCATGCTCATTTTCAGGATCCTTACCAGCATAACCATCCCAGGTGAAGGAACCGGTCCTTTGACCCATACCAATCCATATCCTGGCCGGGGCCCTGGTCGGAAACCAACTCGTTTGGACCTTCAAGAAACGAGTCCTTGGGCAAAGCTCTGAACCTCCATACTGAACTCAGCCCCCTTTTGCTTGCCAAAGACAAGAAACCAAGAATCCTCTCAAAAGCCACGAGCTCGCCATTGCCAAGTTGAGTTGAAATGTGAAGCGAAACGGGTTGGATGTTTGGGACACACCGCAAAGCATGGCGAACCCAGTAGCGGCTTTATTGGGTAAAATGGCCTCTTTCGAGTTGCCAACGGTTCGGGATTCGATTGGTATGGGTTCCTTGTGTCTCTTTGCCAAGGGTCCCCAATTTCAGGACCCAAAGATGATTGAACAGGTGTGGAGCCGTTTTATGGATATCCAAAAAAGAAGAAGCGGCACGCCCGTACAACCTGCGAAAAAAGCATGGACACAAACCTGGGCTTCCGGTTTGCTAGTTGCCTGTTGAAAGCGAAAACCGGCAATGCGAGCAACCCCCTTCCCATGGCCATGGTTGGCTGTAACTGAGCCACGCTTTCGGACTGACGCGACCCCTAACCCCTGCATGGGGTCAAGAGCCGATGTCCTCCACAAACATGTAGATACCGGTAAAACAGGGGAACCCCCGAAATGGTTACTTCCGGTTTTTTTAAACATCCGACGATCCAACGACTCGTTTCCTTTTGGTCCAACGTTGCACCACCCAACCAGCCCAAAGCCAAAAAGAAGCCGAGCGACGGGTTGCGCGGCGTTGGGCACGCCCTCCTTGTCCAGCCAAATCCCGAAGATGTTGTGCTCTCTCACCGCCTCCTCGTAGCCGTCGTCCTCTTGGACCACACGGCCTTGGAGCACTGGCTCGAAAAAACGAGCTCAGACGGCCTAAAAAAGCCCTTCTCAGATGCCCAGCGGCCATGGGAAAAAAGGGGTACCCTTTTTTGGTTGGTTGACTTTAAAGGAACACCCTTCCCAAAAAAGGAAAAAAGGGCCGCTGGGCAATTGGGCCTTCCTTTGGCATATGTGGCAAGTCGAAGCCCCAACAAATCGCCGGAAAGAGCCTGACTTGAGACCGGCTAAGGCAACCGCGGGCTTGGAAGAGCGGGGCGGAGCGGAACATGATCTGCTTGCCCACCTGCAGCAAGTCCAAACCCACCCGAGATCTCGAGGGTGTGACTTTGGGTGGAGGCTTCAACAAGAAGTGATTCGTGAAAATGGTTGCTGAAGAGGAAATATGGGTGTGGCGTTCCTTTATTTTGGAATTGGTACCCATCCGGGACCCATTTGGAAGGGCGAGGGTCAATATTCCTCTGACATGTTGGTGAGCAAAGCAGTAACCTCCCACTTCCGTGTGGTAAGTCAGTGGATTCGCACCATGACATGCCCGCCGGTCAAGATTGACCGTTGCCGACCTGGCAAACCCATTCTTTTTTGAGGTTCATAAAGTGCCCAACCGGTTCTTTATGGCGGAATCAAAAAGTCTCGGCCCGTGATGGAAAGAGTTGGATTTTGGGGTATATATTCAAGGAGTTGGACCCCAAGCGGTCGATGGCCGATAGCCCTCTCAACCATCCAAGGCAGAGCTCGACACATTTCTGCGAGAAGGGCTCACCAACCAGTTCAGGTGATCCAAAGCAAGGCCCAAATTAAGCGATGGACCAAACAGGGTAATTACCAACAAGAAGGCCGGAGAACAAAAAAAAGAAGAAGAAAAAAACGCGCTCACAGGACTGGACGTCAAAAAGGTCGGCTCGGAAACCAACGGCTCAGAGATCAATTTCGCACGCGACCGACGAGGCTCGCCTTCTTGTGCACCGGCGCTTGGGATCGGTGCAGGGAGGCCTCGAAAAAAAAGCGCGGCAGGCCTTAGAAATAGATCCCACACCACCCATATAGCCATGGGTCGATATCCAAATCGTACGCCCAGTGAACATCCCAATCTCCACTAAAATAGACTAAAAATGGGTGGTGAATTCACCTACCCCAAAATGGTACCATTGGTTTTGACCCACAGCCTTATAGGTGAGACATGCCACCATTTCCCCTATTAAGGCAAATGTGGGTACATGGTAAACGAGAGCCTCCCAGTTACGCAGGTAAGCCATTCTCCTTTTGGTGTTTCAAGGGTGGTTCCCTGAGTGGACGACGTCCAACCAAAAAAATGGATTTCGCAATTGGACGACCCTGAAGGAGTGTCCACGTTGATCTGCAGAGCATGCAGGGTCTTGCTCAAACGGACAGAGGGAAGCAGAAACAGACATCAAACACCCATGCTTCCCCTAAGCCTTAGCGACAACGACAGCCGCACACGAGCAGCGACATAGGATATATGGACCAAGGGCACAAACCACAGCAGCTTTGACAACAAGATTCCATTTTATTCCAACAGGAGTCCCTATACTTCCCAAGTCATCACCCCAGCCAAAGGAAACTCAATGCACCCAAAAGCGGGAGGAAGGGGGGGGGGTATACGGACGCATGGGTACCCTCAAGATTGAACCGCCGGCATTTGGGGCGTTGATTTCTGAAAGTATCTTTCGAGATACATGTCGGAGGCAGGGGAACAAGCAGCACATATTAAGCTATAGCGTTTTGAAGGGCCATCAAGACGAGGCGTGAACCGTTTTCTGCTTGCTCGCTCCCTGCAACGAGTGGAGACCGGGTGGCGACCTCCATTTCAACCCCTGCCATGAAATAGCAAAAGACTGTCAACAAACGCCTGCCGGGAGTTGGGCCGACGCTTGTTTAAGCAAGTTCAGACCACTTTGGTTTGAACAACCTCCTGAATTCTCTTTCAAGGCCAAAGGGCAACGGTCTGGATGCTTCAACATGCACCATGCGCCCACCCATGAACACCTGAAGTACATGTTGCAAGCCCGATGCCTACAAAAACAGTGCCCGTGTTTTGTTTTGCTTTCAGGAGATTGCAACCTAGCCCCCAAGCTTGTCCGCCAACTCCCCCAAAAAAAAACATATCCCGCCTTGAGGCGGTCCTCGATCTTCTTCTCCTGCAGCAGCTTTCGGCTGAGCCGCAGGTCCAGGCGCCGCTGCCTCTCCTGCGAGCGCCAGCGCATGCGGCGCGCGCTTGGGGTGGGTGGTCGCTTGGGGTGGGTGGTCGACGTTTGTCGGGCGACCCCTGGAGATGCCCAACCCAAAGGCCATGAAAGGCCAGGAAAGCTGAAGAAGAAGAACCCAGTGGAAAAATATTACCTTTGTTGGAAGCAAAACAGTTGGGAGACAGGGATCACTCCAACCAATGAAACCCACCAAAGCTCTCGTTCCTCGGGCAGATGCTCCCCAAACCCCCAAACCGAGCGTGGGCCCCAAAGCCCATGTCAGGTTCCATGTCAGTGAGTGCCCTGTTGAGTACTCTGGTGGACTTGCTTCAGGTGAGCAAGCCATCGCTCGCTGGCTCCTTCTTGTGCTCCTCTGCCAGAACCCGAGCACCCAGGCCGGAGTCTTCAGCCTGTGGGTCCAGGATTCCAAGAACGCGTCGCTCAGTTGAGGGGGCAAGCTACCTACATAGTTTGGATGCGCTTCTGGATTCCAGCTCTTCCTCTTCGGCACTTCAGCGTCCTTCCATCCATAGATTGGGATCCTAACCGCCTGCAACGCCCCTGGGGGGGAAAAGAAAGTTGGAGGGCGCGGACACGCCTCATCCAGGTAGGTGAGGTATTCCTCCAGCTTGAACTCGATGCGTGACAGCATCTGCCTCAGGTCCCCGTAGGTGCCGCCTTTCGGCGCAAGCCTCTCATAATCCCACTCAGTGTATGAAGAACAATTACTTCTATAGAATTGTTCAACAGCTTAATTCAAGGAAGACAGTCTTGTTTGCTTTGTTGAATCTAAAAAGAGTTCACCAAGTTTAAAGGGCAATAATTATCGAAAGATGTCCCATAAACTGAAAAAGGAGAAGCAAAAAAAGAAACGGGAGGCCCCACAGCAAATTGACGTGGAACCCGCAAAGGTCGCCTTTGGGAGATTCTACGAATGTCCGATGTCGTGAGCAACTTGCATCCAGCAAAATATGTTGCCTTGGCAGGGATTCTGGGATGCCTCTGAACCCTTCAGCTGGGCCACCTGTTTCAGTCCAATCTCTGAAACCGATACTGCCAGGCGAAGCTCAGAAAGATCCGGTGGAATCCAGTGGATGCATCCCTAAGCAGGATCCTCTCATGCCCGTGTCCAAATGTTAGGTTCATGTGAGTCCGAACCAAAACCAAAGGTCACGACCGGAAAAATGAGTCTCGCCCACCAAACGAACCCAGTCAACCGCCTCTTCTTTTAAGAAGCCGGCTGGCCTAAGATGCCTCCGCTGTCCAAACGCGATCCAATTCAGCGCACAAACCCCCAGAAGCCAAGGTGCAGGGTGTCGCCCTCGTCCTGGTCAGGCTTGGCCGGTTCTTTGATCAACTCTACTACCTCCCTCCAATGGTAGACAATGTCAAACATCAAAATGAAACACGTTGAACATTGCTCATTTCGTTGTCTCCCCTTATTGCCTCTTTGTCTGAGCCATGGATTCTGCCTGTTTCGACCCGATGTCCAACCCCCTCCATTTTACCCTGAAAAAGGACCTGACCAAAGCTTATGGGCTGAACTCCAGCATCTCGAAACAATCGGGGGGAGCCACGCCAGGTAAGCGGGTGATACTGTGGATGGACGAAATCCTGCACTGCTTTGAAACCATGGGAAACCAATTGTTTGTTGGTATTTACAGGGGAATCAAATCATTCCAAGGTTTTTGGGGTGGTGCAGGATTTCGTCCTTCCATTGTATGTTCTAAGAAGTCCCCATCCCTTGGGTTAAAGAGGCAGTTCACTGAGCGATGGAATTCTTCACTGGGGCTACCAAGCACAACCGAGTGAGGTTTCCTCCGCATCCCCCACGGACGGTGACTTTTCTTTTGGGGATCCGCAGAAACACAGGGATTTCTCCCAAAAGGGACTCCCCCTGGTTTGCCTTTTGGTCTCCCTATATTTTTCCTTGGCAACCCTGGGTCTTCTGTTTCCTTCTGGGCTTCAAGCAAAGGCGACAGAACTCGATCCAAACGCTCCTGGTTCTCGCTGCTGCACACGTGGTGGACGTCCACCACTCCTTCCCCCAGATCTTTCAAGAGCTCCTGAAAGTCCCGATGCTGGTTGCCAGAAAACTGAGGTCGGTGTCCGTTTAGGGGAAATAGCCAGGGCCTTGGTAGATGATTAAACCACCAGGAAAACCAGGGCCATCTATTTTTCCACCAAAACAACCAAAAAGGACACCTATGTCGTTTGGCCCCCTCCTTCTTGGTCTGTTGGTAGATTCCTCTTCCATCTGCCACTCTTTTCAGACATCTGGCCTTTTCCCCCAACGGGAGGGGGGTGCGCGGGATTCCTAACCCGCAAACAAAATATAAGAAAATCAGCTGTATCTGTCAAAAAGCCTTTCCATAAAAGTTTCCTGGTTTGGGCAAACTGTCATGTTTTGCTCCTTGAGGAAATTGTAGTGGCAAAAATCACAGTACTCCGAAATTCCCGGCAAAACAGGGGTTCCTTCAAGGCGAGATCATCCAAAGACCACCTTCCTTGCAAGGGAATGACAGCTGCTTTTCAGCTGGCTCAAATGTATCCGTTAACCTGCGAAAGGATGCAAAAATGGCGCGTGAGGGGCATTAACGGCTGCTTCAATCTCTCCTTGTTTGCAGGTTGCTTGTGAGGCCTGTAGAGCATAGTGGTTCCATGCCCACAAACTAAGGGCTAGGGTTCCCAATTCACTCCACCAAGAAAGAAGGGCTTGAAGCCATGTAAAGGTCTGCTTTTGAAGACTCCATGACCTGTCAGGTTCCCGAGGCGGTCGCATTCCAACTGCGGTGATCACAGTCTCATTAACGAGCCAGCACTCTCGCAAAGAATGCTGTTCCACGGAATGGTCATGGATGAATCGGTGAGTCGGCCAGATTTGAAGGTGGCTGGAACCCCTTGTCCCTACCTGTGCCATCCAAGCTCAGGCAAGTGCCAGCATCATGGTCGCCGCTCCATTGGTAGCCTTTTTCTTGGCCCACTTCTGGGCTACTCCACAAATAGTAGTGTTTGACTTGTTCCATTGTTGGCCTCCCCTAAAAAATATAGAGTATCTTTGCAGGAGACCTCAGTCCTGCTTGAATTGGTCAACATGTTTAGTCTCCCCAAAAAAAGCTAAAATGATGGCCATGGGCCAAAATCCCGTACCCCCAGTGAATAGGTTCTAAAATGGGTGGTGAATTCACCTACCAACCAAAATGGGATCCAAAACGGTTTTGACAACCATAGCCATATCTTCAGAGAATCCAAGTGGTCTAAACAGCCCTCGGGCCGGCTTCGCGCCCGTCCTCAATCTCGGAGCCACCGTGCTTCTGGGAGATGGCCCTAGGCAACCGGGGCACCACGCCGTGCGTTTCAACGGACAGAAGGGACCACAGCTTTTGGGTTGCCCGGGAAAAAAAAAGGGGGGGGGGGGGGGGAAAACACCACGCCAAAAAAGGGTAGCCAAAAAAACAGTGGCTTGCTTTGCGGACAGCCTTTTCACATTGGCTAAAGCAACCCCAAAAATAAAGAGTAGAGGGGTACCACAAAAAGATGCAAGCGCACGTCTTAGTTTAAGGGTACACTTTTCACCCTGGTTTAAAGGGAAACCAAAAGGAAACCACATTTCGGGTTCCCGTATTCTGACCCCTCCACTGAACTGTACGAGTCAGGGGTGGTTCACCTTTAACCCTTAAAAACACCACGTCCAACTCTCGTGGCTTCCTAGGGAATCCCGCTCCCCAAACCCCAACCATTGAGAACCCAGCAAGTTGGGTGTTTTCGAGGGCACCCGATCAAGCGTGGTGTTCTTCATAGGAGAACCCACAAAAAAATATTGGGGTGGTCCCAACAAAAAAAACGACACGCCCCCCCGACTCGAGCGTCCAGCTTGTCGTCAATCACCGAGTCGCTGTTTGAGCTCATCACACTTCTGGGTCTCGTCGGTGATCTGGCGCTGAAGCTGGGAGATCTGGAGCTTCATCTTGTTGCTCATGGCCTGGCAAGGACCAAACGGGGCTTCCTACGGTGCTTTCGGGTTTGGTGGGGCTCCTTGTGGAGCCTTAGGGACCCCCTTGCATTGGAACAAACGGCTGAGGGTGCGGAAATGCAAAAGGCCTACTAAATCGATGACCAATCGGACCGAACGAGCAACAGCAGCTACACGCTCAAATTCGATGTGGACACCGCCAACCACCACCAACACATGCATTGGCGCAAAACACGATCCCCAAATGGAAACTAAGGGAGACGGTTGATGCCCTAGACATTGCAACTAGACGGGAACCGGTCCTCCAATTATGTGATCGTTGCCTTGTGCTCGTGGCTAGCTTAGCAACATTACAGCCATCCACCGCAACCGCTCCAAGCGGCTTGATAGACACCTCAACGAGCCATGACGTTTCTTCGGCGCGTCCCGGTGGGCCCGGTGGGTCGCCCAGCCTCCCGGGTCTTCCTGAGCGCTGCGAACTTCTGGTTCAGCTCCTCCAGGGCCTGCTCCGTGTCCTGACCGGGAGCCCAAGGCTGTGGGCTCGCGCTATGCCCCCGAAACGAACTTTGATCCAACTGAAAATGCCCAAAGGTCACTACCTGACGAGTAAAAGGTCACCGGCACGAGTACCCTCCCAAAACCCATCAAACTTCCCACCCTCCCACCCTGCAACCTCCCCCACTGCCCTCAAAAATTCGCGTCCTGGGAGTTCTGGATCAAAAAGAGGTTGGACTCCTCCAGCGAGGTGAAGATGTCCAGCAGCTGCTTCGGCTCCTGGAAGTACAGCGGCATCTCCTCGCCGTGAGCGGCGCCGAGGGCTGCCGCAGCACCCCCCGGTCTTTGGTCAACCTTTGGGGGGGCAAACCCGTCCGGTGTGGTCAACCCAAAAACCCGAGAAAGGGGGTGGTGGTGAAACATGCCAACAGAAACACCGAAGAACGGCGGGGGTGGTCAAAAGAAAATGTCTTCGTTTTGATACATATATATATATATATATAAAGGCGAAAGCAAGGAAAGCAGGCGAAAGCGAGGCGAAAGCGAAGGCAAGCAGGCACCGATCGTGGACAGTGGCAACCTTGCCTGCCAAAATGCGCCAAATTGCCCAAGACCGGGCCTGCTGAACCTAGGTTCAACCTGGATTTGTTGAGCCAAGGCCTAAGCTCCTGGTTCACAACCCCCCCCCCAGGAAAAGCAGAAAGAAGAGCCCGGTTGAAGGAGGCGGTGCTTGATGTGTGCGTGTCTTTTTGCCGGAGTTGCAGGGTCCGTGATCGGTTCGTCCACAGTTTGCCCCGAGTCCAACTTGCGAGAGTTTTTAGAGGAACACCCTTAAGGCGCAAGTCCCACGTGGGTCTCCCGCAGCAACTTGTTCCCGTTGCACTCTTGGGCCACCCATACGTTGGCCGTGGATTTGGAACCAACAGCCGGGTGAGCTCGGTTGGCTCAACTGAACCATGCAAGCGGTTTGCCGTCAACTTGCTTGAAACTTTCGCGCTCTTCCAACGGGCTAAAAGCTTGAAAAGATCCTCCTGGAGCAAAGCTCCCCAAGATCAAAAGGCAAATCCACATGGAGGCGTTCCGTTTGGCCTTCCTTTTTCGATAAAAAAAGGGGCCCGCTAGAAGAATTTCAACCATCGCCCTCAAGGGGTTCACTTGATTTCCTCCCCGGTCGCCAACAACCAACAGCTTGCACTTCAAAACGCTGACAAGGTTGTAGGTTGCCCCGCAGCAACCAAGCCACTCGCTCGCTCCCTCTACTCACTGGTCTCGGGGCCTCCCCACTGGAGTACTCCACATACTCTGCGTCCACCTGGTCCCTGGTGGGATACTTTCCTTACACGTGGATTGCATCGGCGATGGCGTCAGTCCCATAGAGAGTGCTGGAACCAAGCTGAAACCAGTGGAATCCAGATTTCAACCAAAACTGACACCGGCCTGATGACTTTGTTTGTTGGCTGTTGTTTCTCCAGGACTCACGTGAAGGTTCAAGAGAACTAGACGAAAGGAAAAAGGAAAAGCGGGACACTGCTTCAACTGTTAATCCACCCAGGGAGTGGAATAACAAGATACAACTTATAACCATAGTCACAAAAGGGAATTACCCCGTGTAAACCCCCGTGATCGACATGAATGTTCAACCCCACTTGAGCAGGCCTGATATTGAAGAACCGGGACCCCAAGAGCCCTGATAGTATTATTTCCCTACGATGTGCAAGCATGGATTTGCCTTGGGAAGAAGTCAACGATATTGATATCGAATCATTGGGCCAAAATATGGGTCCCATTTGGATGGTGGTGTGCAATACGTTTCCTTCAAAAGGGATCAAAGGGTCCCAAAAATCGGCAACCACCGGTCGAACAGCCGAGTCCACCAAATGGCGAAGATGTGTTGTTAAGAATCAGATTGATCGGTGTTTGGAACTAATCAATGTTGAAATCCAGGTTCAAAAACATTGTCTCGTTAGCGTGTGTCGCACTAAAAAGAAAACATGCTTGGTCCAACGCGCATGTGAATATACATGCGGACCTGAATTTGTATGTGTATATATATGTATATATGTGTATATATATGATGTATATGTGGTGCTATTGCATGTATGTATGTACGTACGTACGTATGTATGTATGTCTGTCTGTCTGTCTTCCTGTCTGTATGTATGTATGGGCGTATGTATGCATGCATGTATGTATGTGTGCGTGTATGTGTGTATGTATGTATGCATGCATGCATGCATGTATGTATGCATGTATGCATGTGTGCGTGTATGTGTATGTATGTGGTATCTTTGTGTTTTTTTTGTTTGTCTATCTATCTATCTATCTATCTATCTATCTATCTATCTATCTATCTATCTATCGATCTATCGATTTATCTATATGTCTATCTTTAATTTACTGGTCTGGTTGGTTAGTTGTTGTTTGTGTTGATTTATGTATGTACTTACTTATAGGTGATGAATATGCATGTATCGCATGTATGTGTTTGAGTGTTTAATATTATTCACAGGTTAAATTGTGTACTTGGTTGCTCGTTTATTTGCGTATGTATATATTGCAGGCATGCATGTATCTATGTGCGCATAATGTAATTTACTTATATTTATTTACGTACTGATTTATGTACGTGAGTCTATATTTGTGTGTGCATTTACTTATGTATCTGTGTGTTACTTAGTCATTTACTTCTCAATTCATCGATCTATTCTGTTTTGTTTGTCTAAATTGATTGGTTTGTTTAACTATGCATGTATCTGTTTACTTATCTATCCACGTAGTTGCTTGTCTATGTCTTCATGTACGTCAATTCTGTATTCACGTATCTATTTGCGTCCTTTCTTGTTTGCTGAATATTGTATGTGTCAATGCATTTGCTTGTGTATTCATTTTTTGACTTATCTGTTCATCTATATATACAACGTACGCGGCTCCCTCGCTCTCTCCTCATCTGTTGACTCCACCCAATCTGCTTACAGTCCGAGGGGCGAGCAATACGGCGGCGCCGCGCCTCCATCTGGTCGCGCTCCTTCTGCTCCTCCTCCTCCGTCTTCCTCTGACGCCTCCGGCCTTTCCTGAAGCCGAGAACTCACGGGGGCAAGGGACTAGGGGCGGCGGGCCGCCTTGCCGTTTAGTCCAAATACGGGAAATTCGGAGCCCAATGGAATTATGGGGCTCCTTGGTGGGATTTCAAAGGGCGCTTGACAAACATGTAAGGATCTATAAGCTTAAAATAGGTACATCTCAAGATCGCAAGCTGGTTGTGGGATTTGGCATCTCTTTAGACATCACCCAAAGAGGTTGATGAGGTTTTTTCAATACGAACCAACTTGCTAGGTGGGGAATCGAATCAGGAACCGGTTGGATGGTTTGGTTTGGGTCATTCCGTGCCTTATTCCCGGCCTATCGAAGTAGGGAGTTGCAGGAAACACCCAGCCTCCCTCCTCACCTCCAGCCATCAGGCAAGCAGTTGTTGAGATTCGCAAAGCAAACCACATCCCAAAACCATGGTAAAACATCAGTTTCCCAGTCCACTGTTTCTGGGGTGATCAAAGTCAGAAATTGGGGTGTTTCCATTTAACCTACCACTTATGGGGTGACCAAGGGTTCGGTACGCCACAAAACCATGGTCCAATAAGTAGAAATCGGTTTCCTCCTTTCCTTACTTGCATTTGGCTGTGTCACAAAATCGGGGACCACCACCCTTTATATGCAAGGCCGCCCTCAGAAACCGCACTTATTAAAATAAAATAAAAAAGCTAAAAGGAACCCCGCCATGTTCTTCGGGGTCCCCGCCATAGGCCGAACCGCTCGGTTTCGGGGGGCCAAGGGGCTTCTCCTTCTCCTCCTTCTCCCGGAAGGCTTGCTCCTCTGCCTCGATCTCCGAGTGCATGCGCTCCTCGATCTCCCCCATGCGCGCGTCGACCTGCGTGCGATCCGTGTGGCTCTTCGGAGGCGAACCCGGATAAACCTGAGGGAGGCCTAGGAGGGTAGGGAGCTCCTCACAGGAATCGGCCCGCGCAAACGGGGTGTCCTGGTCCCTTCAATTTTCAATGGGGAGCGGGTCTCACAAGTTGATGGCACACCTGGAACAAAAACCACCATCGGAGTCCCCCTAGTTTGAGACACACCCACCTTGACAAGGGCGCAAATAATGAGAATGGAGTTGCGAGCTACTCTTGCACCAAAACACCTCATGATCATGGGATAACAATGTTTGTGCTTATGCAGGCCCTTCAGGTAGGGCGGTCTATAAAGTGGCTATGAATTTCAGTCACCAGATTCCCACGTACATGTCTGTTGTGCGCTATTTCCCAAAGGACCTGGAAATAGAAGTTGTTAGCTCTTGACACCTTGTGGAAACATGGACCAAATCAGAGAAACCAAAAGGTCAGATCCTGCGTCGATTCAAGGCACGGCGATGCGGCGGCGCTGGAGCTTGCGCTGCTTCTTCTCCTCCCGCTTCATCTCCTTCCACTCCCCAGGGGTGAGGTTCACCAGGAAGTCTTTGAACCTGCGGTTTCGATGCTCTCGTTACTTGGGGATGGATCAATGACCAGCACGGAAAACCGCAAAAACAGACTCGACTTTCCCCACGTCCTACTTGGGGATTGATCAAAAGGTTGAGTAAATATGGGGGAACCATCAAAAAACCGCCCAAAAAGATACGACTTCCCCCACGAAGCGGAAAAGGCTGCCCATGGTCAGTTTGGGAAAAAATTGATCCACCCCCACTTGGCTACGGGATTTTTCGTTGGGGACCCCTTGGTTGACAGCAACCAACTGATTTGTGAATTGTTCATTCCGTGGCACCCAAAAAGAGAAAACTTGGCCCACCCCTTCATTGACAGCAACCAACTGATTTGTGCCCCCAAAACGGCTCACCAGACCACCCAAAGGCGCCTGAGGCACTCGTCCTTCTGCTCCCGGTGCTTCGCGATTTCACCTGAGAGGCGTGGGTGTTGGATCCCTGCGCTGGTTGAAATGGCTGTGGGTCAAAAATAGGGAAACCCCAAAATGGCTTGCCCTGGCAAATGGAAACATGAACGATTTAACCTGCGGTCCTCTGTTGGTTTGATTTTGACTCATACCCTAACGGGGGTTGATCAATATTCCATGAGAAACTTGTCCCATGTGAAAAGCATCACCCTTTTTGTTTTCCCCAATGGTCATCCCGGGTAGAGGACCTTTTGATCAACCACTGAATAGGAAAAAAGAAACAAGTGGCTCATTGTGCCTCCACACATGAGGAAAGGGCTCCTTATTGGGGGTAGGGGATTGGGAGCAAACGTGAAACATGAGGGGTGTGGGTGCTTTTTTGGGGTACCCTGGTCTTAAAGGAAAACTCAAAGGAAAACCACCCATTTGCGGGAAACCCGAAAAAAAGGAGCCACATCCATGTTGCTAGGCGGGGCCCGAACTCGTCGCTTCCTGTGACCCTTGTCCAGCATGGAACCTGCTCGGTGCTTGGAAGACGAAGATCAAACCAAACTGAGGCAGTGCCAAAGGAAAACCGGAAGTCATGCGCAAGAGCATTCTGTGGCCCTGGCAGTTTCTCAATTGGTTGGGAAGGAAAACCAAAAAGATTTTTTTTGCGGCAATGCCAGGGCTTACTGGTGTGCGTAGTCCTATGTCAACATCACTTGACTCAGAAACAAAATCTGGCTTCGGTCTATCCGAAACCATGTAAGCAATCACAAGAGCCGTCGTTTCTGTTTGTGTTTGGACGTATCCCAAGTGATAGATGAAAACCAAACTTCACTTGGAACCCGAGATCGGATCGTTCGGTTTGCAAAACCGGACGCCCCCAATCTGAGTTTCGACCCCCCAAGATCCTTCATCGTGTTTCTGCTAAACTAGCCCTTGCTGTCAAACCAAACTGCCATCCAACCCTACTTCATCCCTTAAAAGGTTTCCCTTGGCCACTCACAGGCCACGTTCTTCATCGCGGTCGTTCGCCGAGCTGCTTTGGATCGCGCTCAACTGCGACTTCAGCTGCTTGATGCGGATCACCTAAGCTCAGAAAGCCCTCCTGAGATTAATCTGGAACCCAACAGCAGACAACCCTTTTTTGAGGCCCTACGGTTGGAGAAACCTCCCTCGTGTAGAGAGGATGCTATTTCTGTTTGGGGCTCCATGCTTGTAAGGGGGGAGGGCCAGCTGGGAAAGCTCCTTTTGGAGGCAATTGCTCACCGGAAAAGGCCGCAACTCTGCACTTTCACGTTAGGTCCTGCACCAAAAGGTCCCTGCAAAAGCCTTTCCAACCCCAAAAATGGGATGATGCGAGGGGTAGTCTTCGGGCCCTTTGCTTCGAAGGCAGCAATTGCGCCTAGTCTCAATGAAAGGGCCATGTGTTACGGCGTCCATGGGGCCATGGAATCCAAAGTGGCTCGTTCGAGCTGCCACATCGGGCATGTGGCTTTGACCCACGGCTGATGGTTGGAGCAACTGCCAAACCCACCACGCCCTACTAGATGGTTGATTTAAAAACAAAAGAGTATGGATTTATTTGTTTATGTGTATTTGGTTGTATTATGTTATTTGCTTTTTGTTTTTTGTTTTTTTTTAGAAAGAAAATGTATGTGTGTGTGTGTGTGTGTTAATACATATGTATATTCTTCTAAATATTCATGAACCCGTGACAGGTATGGTGGATCCCTACATCTTGCAGGTAGGGGCGAAATGGGAATCCAGGTGGGTTGGGTGTGATGGGCTTGCTTCAGTTGGAATCTACCGTTTCAAGAAACCCGTTGGACCCTGTCATTTGAAAGGGCGCTTTTTTTGATCACGCGTATTGAGCACCTTGACTCCATTTGCTTCGGATGGGTAAGGTTGACCCCAAATGAAACCCCTGGTTCATTGTTTAGGGACTCCAAATTGATTGGGACGTCCCAGTTTCCGATGCGTTCCGACATGACACATGTGAAGCTATTTGGGGCCCTTGTTTTGTTTGTGGGAAATTTGAGGTGCGTTACGCTCATCTCATACCACCCTGGAAAGACTTGAAGGGAAGCTACTGAGGACCATAGGAAAATGAGTGAGTCAATTATATAACCAGGAGTGTGAATTGGTGAGTCCCACGCTCCCAGATTGACCTGTTCTGAATCTTCGTTTCCCTCCGGCCATGGGCTTTGGCCATCATGGCTCCCATGCATCATAGATGTCTACAGCACGGGGACAGCCCACCAAGCGCACTCGCGAGGCCAAAAGATCTGGTGCGATTCCAGCGGTCAGTGTTCCACCGGGGGGGGGGGGGATTCAAAGACTCACAAACGGGGGCTAGTAGCCATGGTTGACTAACAACCTGGGACTTACACCCTTTTGTTGGTCATTGCTTCCACCCCTTGTAACGCCAGTGGCAACTGCATTTTGTTTCAGGATTGTTCTGAATGAATAGCCTTCGTTTTTTTTCGAACCCTGAGTGGATGAGAACCATAGCTACCATTACAGAGGGAGTAGCCATGGTTGACAACCTGGGACTTGCAACCCTGAGTGGACCATAGCCATGGCTACCATATCCGTTGCCGTTCTTTCTTCGGTTCCAAAAACACTCCGCTCGAAGCCGAGCCGCTCGATCCTGCTTCTCCCTGGCCATGGTGTCCGCCTTCTGCATGGCCATGTGCGCCCGGTCGTCGTTGTTGCCTTTTTCCCCGCTCACCGAAGCCCCAAAAACACACAAAAGTGGGCGTCATGGGGTTTCTTTGCCGGTGAGTAGTTGGGAAATACACCATGCTCCCAAAGAATCAAAGATCTTTCAGCCGCCACCCGGAGGAAGTATGTTGAACCACCTCAAGCTCGCAAAGTGAACCGACATGACTCGAACATCCTCAAGTTGGTTGCCCTGAGAGAGAGAGAGAGAGAAAGAGAGAGAGAGAGAGGCCATGGTCTGGTTCAACACAACCTGCTTCCTGTGTTTCCCGGAACGGCCACCAAGGTGCGTGTCAGCTCGCAAGATCTCGCAAGCATATGTAAGCCACGGTAAACATTCCGTGCAACATCTCACCAGCTTCGCGTCTTTGGCATCAGGTTTGGGTTGGGACCAGTCTCCGGAGAAGTGTCCATCATCTCCCCCCACCTAACATCGGCCACTTGGCCTGGAACATGGAAAAAATAGCCAATGTCCCCTGGTTGTGTGGGAAGGTTCGCAACCATCGCGCTTAGAGACCAAGCGCTGCATTCATAACTCTTTCACATTCCTGCTCGTTTGCTGAGAATTGGCAAACAAGGAAGAGTATAGACTCAGGGAAATGTTGCCTCTTTCATCTTCATGGTTGTTATCTGTGTCACCTTTCCATTGTGAATTATTGCTTGTTGGTTCCCCGAAGATCCGATGGGCACAAGGGCGTAGCAAATTGGAAACAACAAGTTGGTCGTTTGACACCTCGCAGCAAGTTTAACTACTTGCTACGCCAAGACAAGGACCTTGTACCACTTTTCAATGGGATTTTCGCTTTATCCCCTCAAAGCAGCCTCCAACCTTTCGACCTCCGCTTCATTGCGTCGATCGATTTTGGTCCCGGTCGCTCAAGAACGCATCGAAGCGCTCGACATCCTTGTCCAGCATCTGTTTCGACTTGTTCAGCGCCTGCCAAAGATCTCTGGGGCTTGGATAGATGGAGTGGGCACAGCGGACTGCATCTTCCAAATGGTGCACAATGTCAGCACTTTCGGGCATAGCCATGTTTTAAGTTGCAACCGGCTTGGCCAAACGGCAGAATTGACGTACCCTCGGAAGATCCAGGTGTGCATCTGCATCTGCCAGAGTCTGCCTCCAGCTGAATAGGTCGCCCACCTTGCTACCTTTAATCTACTGGCCAACCACCGACATAAGACAAAAACCATCGACGGCCCCACGACCCCATGTCCTTCTTTGCATGAACTCAAGGCCCCGCTCCCCAAGAAGCGTACAACGACGTTCACGATTTGGGCCTATCCGGGTGTGAATTCTAGAGTATGGGGAAGGCCTTTGGTGGCAAAATTTGGTGGATTCAAGTCCGCCACCATTTGAGAGGTGGTGTCCCTCAACATGTCATAGCCATAGGTGTCCTTTTAGGGGACACAAAAGGGGCCTGGTAGATGATTAAACCACCAGGCAAACCAGGGCCATCTATTTTTCTAGCAAAACAACCGAAAAGGACACCTATGGTCATAGCCATCTGCCTGAATTCCAGCCCCGACACCCTCCGGCGCCACTCTCTCCGCGCCGCGCGCCTCCTCCTTGTCCTTGGCCCGCGCATCCAACTTGAGGATCTCCGCCTTCTTCACGTCCAGGCTCATCTGCACCAGGAACATCTCCCGCTTCTTTGCTACAAAGTCCGCGATGTTCTCCTGAAATCCGGGGGAAAAAAAAAGTCAAGAAGTCAGCCTCAGGCTCCCAACTGGAGAAGCTGCCAGTCCCTTTTGCCGAATCCTCTTTGGGACAAGTCAACGTTGAGCGGGTTGGAACCCCGGCGACGTTTCGCGCCTCAGATCCGTGTTGAGTTTGGAATCACGGTTGTCTTTTCTACAGGGTCTTGTTAAAATGTATGGATGCCCCCCAAAACGATTTCGGCTCACTAGAGGTATGCCAACCTTTTTTTTATGCAGGGCAAAGGACCAGCCTGCCCGATGGCGAGAACGGTATGACATGTCTCTCTCAAGACCAAGAACTGCTGGGAAATTTGACCAAATTTCATGCAAAAACTGGCCCCCGTCCCACAACAAACGACAGAAAGGTGGAGCCAACCTTCAGTGAATGTTGCTCACGTGAAGCCGAGTTCTAGGAGGAGAAGGAAGGGGAGAATCAGAAAGGCGCACGCATTTGCAGGTCAAATTGTCCTTTTGTTCCAAGGATCAGGGCATTTTCGAGGGGGCAGGAGTCTTCCAAACCCTCCTATCCACCTCCGTGATTGTTTGAACAAAGTCGAGACTAAGATCTTCGATTCTGGCCCATATTTAGTGAAGCTCAAAACCAGCAAGCAGCTATCAAAACAGCTCCCAGTTCATTCCGAAATACAGCTGACAGTTTCCACCGCGATTGGGGGGAAGCTACAAGAGATCCCAGAAAAAGCAACTCCAACTCCGACAACAGGCACACCCAAAGCAACCAACCGCGTCCTTCTCCCGGCGTGCATCGCGACCTGAGCTTGCGAAACTGAGAGCATTGTGACTCGGGCGACCTCGAAGGAAAATGATGAAGTCCTGCCCAGAGAAAGAAATCGGTCATGAGGGGGTTCCCAAAAGTCGTCCCAAGACGCTTTGCTTGGCGGGGTCCTGTTGATGGGTTGAAACCTTCTGGGGCAGAGCAACGTGGCTGTCATCGGAAAACCCCCGAGGGCAGAGGCACTCAGGAAGCGGGGCTCCGAAGGAACCGGCGCAGAAGAAGCATTTCCAGTAGAACCGAAGACCCCAAAGCCCAAGCAAAGAATCAGCTCTTCTTGGACATCTGAGTCAAAGATCGTCCGACGCAAGAGAAGGGTTTTTTGTTGATGAAAAGAACCTTCACCAAGGGTAAGGTTGCAAACCCTCGTTTGAGATCACTAACATTCGCTCAGACGAAGTGCTAGCATAAGATCTTCCTTCCCACACTCATGGCTTCGCAAAGGTTGAAATTCCTTCACGAAGATGGAAAGCACGCAGAAACCAACATCGGCGTCCCTCTAATTGGTAACTTGAATTGGCGGCTTGGAGGTTAGGGGCGGTTTCTCAATTGCCCTCTACAAGAACCACGGCTTAAAGCCCTCAAACCACCAATTTAACTACCCACGAAGGCCTGCCTCAAAAAGCACCTTCCAGAGCGACACTCGCGAAAATTTGGCTCTTTTGGACGGCAGTGAAAGGACTATCCACCCAGAAGTTTTCTTTGGACATGGGAAATGTAAAGCTCGTGCCCCATGCTCCTCCCAAATGGACTATAGACACTTGAGGCTATCTTGACCCAACCTCATGAGGTCTGAGTCTGCGGCCCCCCAAAAAAAATACACAAAGAAAAACAAAGAGCTCTGGTGAGGTCTGTGAAAGAAACATTGAAACAAATTCACGGAACTCCAAAAACAAGAAAAATGGGGATGATAGTCTGGCCGCCAAACATAGGTTTGGGTTGGGGAATAGGTATCAGTACCCTTTCTGAGTTGTAGGGGAACAAACAAAAGGACAACCTTGAGACAAAGCCACTGGACCTTGTTTGGCCTTCGGAGAACTAAAGGGAAAAACTTACCCATTTTAGGGAACAAATCCAGTGGACAACCGCTCCCCAAAGGATTTTATGGATCTCAATGGGGAACCACCACAAAAGTGGTGGACATGAACCGATTTAATCCCCACAGGGTCCAGGGCCCGTCAAAGTTCATGGGTGTCTTTTTTGAGGGTACCCTGTTCGTGGGGTTTAAGCAAAAACCAAAAGGAACGCCACCAATTTGGGGTGGCTCAAAAAGAGATTCCCCCATATCCATACTGTGGATGGACAAACTCCTGACCAGTTCGTAGGTGATTTATCCCATGATTTCTAGGGGTTCATCTATCCCAAGCGATCCAAATCGGATTTCGTCCATCCACAGTATGACCCTTCTTGCCTATTGCGAGAGGCAACATCCATCCCATGTCCGCGATGTCCATTCTGGTCTCCTTCTTGTTTTTCTTTGTTTCTTAAGGCTTCCTTGAACAACCATCAGACACGGGTTCCTTGAAAAGCCATCAAACACGGGGGGGGGGGGGGCAACTCCCCGGCGAAAGCTTCCCATCCGCTTCTCGCCGCTTGCTCGCGCTCCGTTGCCGAGCCGCCGATGCCGAGGTTCTCCGGCTGGGCGCCGCCCGCGCGCGCCCGCGCGGCGGAAGCCGCCGCCTGGGCGTCGTCCACGCCGTCCTGGGCGGCATGGGTCGCGGGTATGGCAAAAAATGGGGATTTGGCGCCGCCAGACAGAGCAAAATGAACCTCCAAAACTGGAGCAGTGAGACTTGGGTGTGGATCTTCATGTGTCAAAATAGGAATTTGGACCTAGAAATGGCGGCTGGGTACCTTGAAAAGACACGTCACGGGTGCACGGAAGACTCGATTGGCACACGCCGCAAAGCACGTTTCGCGAACCCCTTCCCGCCCCCGCCCCCGGCTGGCATCAACATCGGGCCAATTTACCATTCAAGCCAGGGGAAAACTGGAACCCTGTTCAAAGAAAAGGCTTCATGAGGCAGCCCTCGGCTCGCTTCTCTGGTGCAATTGCGGAACCAGAAGACCCGAAAAGCATGTATCATGGTTCGTCGTCAGCTTACAACTTTTTGGAATTTCTGCCATGGGTCAGCAAAATGTTGCCTAAAACAACCCGAAGCTCTCGCATCTACTCGACAAGCAGTGTGGGAAACAGCACTAAACACGGGTAAAGCCCTGAAACTGACCTGGATATTTTCCTGCACATATTTAGAGGAATCTCCTTTTGCGTTTTTGAAAAACAAAAAACAAAGCAAAGTTGAAACAAAAATACGCAGGCGCCAAGCTGCAGCCCGTCACCCAACGCGTTGCTTGCTCCAAGCATCGTCAATGCGCCTGGTCCGACTATGCCGTGAGGCTGCAGTCCTTAGATCGAGCCGAACAGGGCGTCTACCTGCACAGCAAGCCGCCGACAACTGAAAACGTGCCCACTATGTTGCTCAACTTAATGGCCAACACCTCCAAGACATGTCTACTTGCAAGTGGATCACAAGGACTTCTCCTGTGAATTCAGCCGGCCTATTTTCCACGGGAACCAAGTGCCGGCTACAAAGTCGGAGGTCCCAAGCGACCTTAAACGGGAGAAGGGAAGACCTGGTCCATCTCACTTCCTGGGGATTGGCCGAACAAGTTTAAATTGTTCATTTACTACTACAATGCTCCAAACCCAAAAGTGATTCCTGTCCAGGAACTCAGGAAGTGAGTCTTCCTTTCTTCTCGAACGGGTGAGATGTACCGGAAACTGCCACGTGCAAATTCCTACTGTCCAAAGGGGTGGGCCTGAAGTCGATCGTTTCGGCCGAGTTCCTACGGCTTCTGGGAGCGTAGAAGTACACCTCCCCAGTTCGATTCGTTCCCAGGTGCCCACGCAATTAAAATGTGCAAATTATAAGGGTTCAAAAAATTAGAATGGGGCTGTACTTTGAAACCAAACTATGTCGTCATGCAAGAATGCCAGTAAGTAAGTAACCTTCTTTGCCCCCCCTCCCCCCGCCCCCCTCCCCCCGCTTTTTCGCTTGAAGGAGGCCCCCCATCAACCCATCCCCCCCCCCCAGGTTCCGCTTGAAGGCGACGAGGCACACCTTCTCCCAGACGTGCTGGTGCTTCACCTTCTCCCGCTCCTCCGCGCGGCGCTGCCGCTCCTGCTCCCGGATGGCGAAGATCTGGTCGTCCGGGGGCAGCTTGAAGGGGTTCTCCTCCTGCTGGAAAAGCTGAAGCCGGAAAAATAACGGAGGGGAGGAGTTCTAATGGAGGGAGGGGCTGGTTTAAGATTCGAAAACAAGTTGGGCTCCCTGAAAGTGGGAGTTTCCCAAATGAATGAGAACTCTCAAACTAAAACGCAGGTATTGGGTCATTATATTGACGGTTTCTGGGGGTTATCAAAGTCAGTAAATGGAATCGGTGGTTTCCCTTCAACCCGCCATTTAGGGGGTGACTTTGATCATGGTAAAATAATGAGGCCAGGTTGTGCCGGAAATGAAATGCGGAAGAGAGGAGAAAAGGCCTTCGCGGTGATTGCCTTTCGGTTATCGTTTTTCATGGCTCCTTCTGAGCGTGCGCAGGAACTTCGACCGATGGCCAAATGGCCCCTAAGGCGTTGGCCACAAAAAAGAAACTCAATCTCAACGTTGGAGCGCCGGCAGCAGCCACAACATTGACAGCTGCAAAATCAAAAGCAGAGAAACTCTCCCGAACTGCGACGACTTTGCGTGGCAGCCAACCCAAGAAACTGACTCTGCGCTGTCCGCGCTGAACACCGTCAAACCTCTGCTCGCAGAGTGTTCGCCCGGGGAGCTGGATTAAGATTCAAAAAACAAGTTGGGCTCCCTAAAAGTGGGTGTCTCCCAAATGAATGAGAACTCTCAGATCAAAACGCCTCCGACCCTTTTTTTCCCCTCCATGCGCATCTCCAAGAGGAAGGGCCCGATTTCCCCGAGATTTTGCCTCATGTGGCAAGATCAACGGCTTTACGGATTTAACGTTGGCCTCTGCCCCTTTTGGTGGGGGGGAGGGGGGAACTTGTTCCACCACCGGATCGCAAAACCGAATTATAGCCATTGCGATGGGATCTTCACCTGGAAAACCGTTTCACTCTCTATCGCTCTCTCTCTCACCGCTGCGCGCCTCAATTTTGGCCACCATGTTTCAGCGGCCAAGGGTCGTTAGCATCAAGGCCCACAAAGCAGGCTTTGCGAAACAAGAATAGCCTCTCGATATCTGATGATTGCATGACTGGCTGAATCTGGACCTTTGTCGAGCTCACTTTGTGCTGGAGCCAGTCAAGTCGGCACTCTCAAACATGAACCGCTTCCGGTCCCGATGGCCGTGAGCGAATGTGGCTGAAGCCATCCATCGCCGAAAACACGGCACGTGCACTTGTCTTCTTCCATCTGCTTCGCGTGCCGCCAATGATGCGGTGCTTCCCTGCCATTGCTACTTCCCCTGACCAGCATGAAAAATATAGACTCACTTTGAGCAAACAGGGAAAAACAAAAAAACAAAAACAAAAAACAAAAAAGCGCTGCTTCGAGCCCCTGGAAGCGGGCCTCTTCGAACAAGCCCTGGTCGAGCTTGTCGTACACCCGCCACCTGGCAGGTGATTTCCCCCTGGCAACCTCGAACCCACGTGGCCATGGGTCAAAATCCAAATCGTACCCCCAGTGAACATCCCAATCCCCACTAGAATAGGCTCTAAAATGGGTGGTGAACTCGTACCTTACACACGCCACAAGCAGCAAAAAAAGTCCATTCGCCAGCCAAAACAGAACGGCTGCCTGGCAATTGTACTACCTGAATCTTCGTGACATACACAAGAACATCTGCGGAAATTGAAAAAATCCTTCCTCCTTCCTTCCTTCCTTCCTTCCTTCTTTCCTGTCCTTTCCTTTCCTTTCCTTTCCTTTCCTTCCCTTCCCTTCCCTTCCCTTCCCTTCTCTTCCTTCCGCGGCGCGTCTGAGCTACGGAGCGAAGTTCTCAAATGGCAAGATCATGACGGGCTCTGCGACGGCCAACCAAACAAGACCCCAACTGGGAACAACATTTTTGGACTACGGGCAACTGAAGAAACACCCAACTGCCCGGGCTCCCTTTCAGAACATCCGCGGCACGTGCTAGGGTCCCTTTCGTCTCTGGTTGCAGGATTCCAGCATTCAGCAGGAAGCGAACAACCATTAGAAGATCGGCTGCGCTGGTCACGGTCACGGTGCCAATACTAGGAACCCTTAAACTCCCTGTTTAACAGGTCCGCCACCAGCCCTAACCAGGTGTTTGGACCAACAAGGGCACCTGGGTTTGTTTCCAAATGAAGACAAGCCCCCAAACAGAAATAGGTTGATTCCCTTCGATTTCCCTTTGAAACCTCAGCCACAGGGGCATCTCCCCTGAGCCCATTGGCATCTCCCCTGAGCCCATTCAGCCCATTCGACCACAAAGGTAGGTTTCACGCAAACGCCGGATGGGCCCTAAGACGGGGGCAGCCACTGCAATCTCCTGAGTAAACCAAGGGACAATGATTGCGATAAGCCCTTCAAAACAAAGCCTTCAGCTCCTGAGTCTCCCCGCCGAAGAAAATATCCCAGTGCAAGAGAGGAAAAAGAAGAAGGGACGGCCGGATGCCTTCTTCTCTTGTAGGTTGTCTCGAAATGTTTCTACCTCCAGCTGAGGTTCGGCATCTTTTTGTGCCCCTCTAAATACCCCTGCAAAAGGACACCTCCACCCTCGTTTTTGAGAAATTCTGAGAATCCGCCTTCCGGCAACTGAGCTTGCCGGGCTTCCCAACACCTCTGCAGACATCCCCAGCAGGTGCACGGCAGGCAGTGGCCTGGTTGCATCTAAATGGGCCCGATTCTGCCCAAGGGTCTGGGGCAAACTTGCCCGAAGTGAGAACAACACACCGATTTGGGTGGGCGGTGAAGGGGTCCTACTCAAATCAAGGGTATCTGAGTTGGTTTAGTCAAGGCGTCAAGAAGCAAAGCAATACCCGGTGGCAGAGAATATGCAAAAACACACCTGTCCGACATACAATACAAAGGGGAGCGTAGCAAACAACTGCAGCAGGGATTCGGTAGACATCCAAAAGCCAGCTGCCGAAACCACGGATGCGAATCCTCATATCACGCAAAAAGTAGTTCTTCGTTGTTGGCCCCTGGTATTTCGGGGAACTAAGAGAAAACACGTTCTTGCAAAAAGGGAATTCATCTCCTTTCCATGAAATTCCACAAACATTGGACCCAAAAAATGGGCTCCCTGTTTGGCCCCAAGGCTCAAAGAAAACCAACACCCCACCCCGTTCGGCGCAAGGCGCCGCAAGAGAGCCGCCGGATCCATGGTCAGGCCATGGACCATGGCGAAATTCCTGAAATCTTGTCCCCGGAAGAAGAAGAAAAAAAAAGATCTGGGTGCGGTTCCTTCTAGGGGACCCTTTTGGTGGACTTCTCCAGAATGGCTTCCTAATTTGGTTTCCAAATTGTTTTTGGTGGATTTCTCCAGACTGGTGCTCCCTTTCAACCCACCAAAAACGGGTACCGTCGTACACGCATAGGTGCTGTGGTTCCTCCTGCTTTCTGCAATGTCAGTTTGTTTGGGAACCCATGGCGCAGGACAAGACAAGGCCCGGTCTTCACCCCAGTTTTGCAAGGCAATTTGGGTTGTCCCGCATGAAACATTCAACCGGGTTGCTAGTTTTGCCAGGCAGCCTTGTCAAAACAACTTTGCTCCAACTGCCGGTTTGATGCTCGGTAACTCGACGCAGAATATGGCCGCTTGTGCGCTTCTGCCGGCGCTGATTTCCGTGGCTCTTGAGAAGCGAAAACTGCACAGGGAAGGAGAACGTGGCGGGGCCGTTGTGAGAGGGGTGGACGGCCAACACTAGTCAAGTTTCCCAAACACTCGAGCAAAACAAAGCGCCAGCTCAGGCTGGCCAGGTCTTGCCAGGAGCAAATCAAATGGCGCTGTCAGCATGACAGGCTTTCGCCGCATGTGAAGAGGGTTTCTGCACGCACAAAGGGTGCCGTGATTCTCCCGAGGAATCGAAAAGGATCCCTGCCATCAATGTGCCTGTGTTGAAAGCTGCCTGAAAACCTGCTGGTCATTCCCTTGTACCCAGCATCACGCCAGAATAGGCAAGTGAAGCGCGCCGCTGGTCTGCTTGGAATTGCTGGCACGACTCCGCAATTGCCACATGACGTCACATGCCGTACTTTCGCTTGCTGCGAGATGATTGTTTTTTTTCTTTCCGCAAGCCGCAGAAGTGTGACTTGGAAAGCGACTGCATCACGTGTCCAGTCCTGTCTCAGGACAATCCTGCCAAACATGTCTGCGGCAATCAGGGCATCAGGCGGATTGGCTCGAGGTGGTCGCACCGTACAGGCTCTCGGGGGTGTCAGCGATGGACGTGGCTCGCAGCTGTTGCTCCTGACAATGCTGTCAAAAACAACAGCAGCAGCAAGTACTAACACATACACTTTGTCACTTCATCAGCTCAGCTCCGCTTTCTGGAACTCGGTGTCTTTGTGGCTGTGGGTGTGTATGTGTGTGGCATGCTTCCCTCGTCCTTGCTTTGTGCTGCGTGCCGCGCGCAAATTGCCCATGGTCCCAACCCAAACATCATGCAGGGCATCATTTACCATGCCTGGTGTCCGTGTTCACTTCACTGGACCAACCGCGCAAGGGCTCCGGGCGGATCTCTTTCATGTTCTTTCTCTTCCATCACTGTCCATCTGATGTGAGAAACACATACTAAGACTTGCCATGTCTTTCATCCATCACATCTCTCCCAATTAAGATTATTGTAAAGCTTGAAAAGCATAAAGACTAAGGACAAGAGATAAAGGGATGAAGGGAATTGGCTGGGATGACGCGAAATTAAGTCTTGCAATTCCACGGGAAACCAAAGAAAGAACAAATCGGAATGGGAGATGATAGCATAAAGTTTCATTCCAGCATTTCTATGAGCAAATGATTTGCTATCAGTGTTTAGATTTACCCGTTCTTGCATATGGGGCTTGATCTATTCCTGGCTGGGTAGTTGTCCCATTTCGTGGGGAATATCATCCTTTCTATTGGTATTCCACAGCGGTCATCCCTTGTAAAGGGCCTTTTGATGAACCACCATATGCTGCTAACTGATTCTTCGGAGTCGCCAGCGAAAATGACCGCGTGGGTCGCTAAGCCTCGGTTCGACTGAGTGCTGGACCCCGCACCATATGTTGAGAGCATTAAATTTTATGGGAGAGCTGCCGAGCAGGGAGATCTCGTGTCTGCAGCCTTCTCATTGGGTCTCTCAGGCACAAAAAAAAACTCCTGGCCGTTCCCTCATTTCAGCACAGGCCCAATGCATTTTTTGCCCGACACCTTGCTTGGTAGGGAAAAGAAACAAACATTGGAGATGTGTTCCTCTTGTTTGGTATGGGACAATTGGTTGATTTCTTAACCAATGGATTCTCGGATCTTTGGGGTCTTAAAAAATCAACCATCCCTGGGTTGAGCCTGCCTTGAGTTGTCAACAAGTGGACGCCTCGAACAATATGTGTGCTTCTCCAGATCGGGGTGTCCCTTTGGTTCCCTTCTTAACACCATCTGAGAAGTGGCTTTCTCAAAAACGCCACACCCCCAAATGTTTTAAAACCATCTAAAAGCGGTTTGCTGAAGGAGAAAAACACTTGTTTCTACAACACAAAAACACACCCTTTCCTTTTGGTGTCCCCCCCCGCAAGACCGCCCAGAAAGCGGGGTCTGCTCCCCAAAATCCCAGCCCCCCAGGGCCCAACTCCTTATAGCTCGCCAGCATCTCCGGCAGGAACCGGCGCCAGGCGTCGCCGAAGCCCTCGGGAGGCCCCGGCACCTGCAGAGGCGATGCCAGCTGATGGGCCACCAAGGCCTGAAGCGAAGAGAAGACGCGGATGGCTTCAGAGGGTCGAAATCTGGCTGCGATCGGTGAATGAGAAATGGAAGGAACCGTTTTTGGGATGCCCTTAAAGGAAACTATAGGGGGAACTAGTTTTAAAAAACTCTCGGGTTGCTTCATAGGGCTGTTAGTGGGTGAGGCTCGCAGAATGGTAACTGCGGAAAGAAAAAAACAAACAAACAAAAACATTCACGAGGATTGTTGCTGGGTCACACCACTTTTGGAGGGAACACCCCCCCAAAAAAAGAAATGATAAATCCGGGGTCAGGGATACCTTCATTTATGGACGCCTTGCTTTTCGCAACTGTCCTGCAGACTGGCAACAATTTTGCGATTCCTTCAAGCCAACCCTCAACCCCCACCCCTCCGAAACCCTGCCTGCTGCAGCCGCGCCAAGGTCAGCGCAAAGGCGAAGGTGCCGCCGACTGCGAGCAGCAGAACTAGCACCAGGCGCTTCCAGAAGTTATGTCGCAGGTTCTTCCTGGATCGCGCGGCCGAAAAGCTGGCGACCCAAAGACGCCCCTTGCCGAAACCAAAAAAGGGGATGGTGACAAAACAAGAAACAGGGGGTAGACCTGAAATGCCAATTCCTCACCTTGCCCCCAAAACATAAGCCCAAGGAGTATACCCAACGGAACCTTGGAACAGTCCATGTTGGAGGAAAAAAGGGATGTGACAAACCCGAGAACAAGGCATGACTTCAAGGCAGCAGGAAAAGGAAACAACGGATTCAAATCAGGCAACCAGTTGAATTGCCTCCCAGACCCCGTTCGCAAGATGACCGCAACGGCTTCGATTGATTTCTGGCAGCATGCCGTTTTTTGAAGGTTCATAATTAGGGGGTATCTCAACTGGATAACCTGTCACGTCAGCTGGCATCAAGTTGGGACCACCCGTTCTGTCAAAAACTGTGCATACAAAGGCGTGAACCGATGGGGCCCGTTCAACCAAAAAGAGCACCTCCGCTTTCAATCGGCAACTCGTTCTTTTAGGGCAGCCCCCAAAATGGCTTCGGTTTCTTTTCCTTTGGGTGTCCATTGAACACCAACCAAAGCGGGGTTCCTGAAAAGACTGTTGGGAGTCTGCAGAGTCCCAATCTAAAAAAAACACGGGGGCACCAAATGCTTCGAAGAGGCCAGTGCTTCACCGGGGACTCCACCCACTCGAAGAAGAGCGGGTGGCTGGCGGTCTTCCGGAAGCTGCTGGCCCACGCCTCCACCGCCAGCCTCGCGAGGACAAGAAAAGATGGCGCTGGGCTTGGGAGCCAAACCATCGGCGTCCCTCCAAAAACCGGTGGATTTGGGTGTGGCTACAAATTAAAGAGAAAAGCTGGTCAAGCACGATGCGGAAGAAAAGGTACTCCTCGTTCTGCCCCTGCCTTTAGCAGGGTGTGGCTCAAAGTTAAAGAACTGGGGTTACGCAGGTTTTAGTCTTTGCTTCCATTTGCCAAGGTGCCCTGTTTTTGAGCCACGGACATTTGGAGCCCGGAACACTCGAAAGCCAGGATTTCAAATCCCCAATCCAATCCAAACCACCAACCAAGCCACAAGCTTTGAAAAGGAGAACGGGGATCAAAAAACATGGGAGGGTGGGGAAGTGTGGAGTGTTTTTCATCTTTACGCGCACCTTGTTGGCAAGTATTCCCACAACTCGAATTCTGATTGGATGTGTCTAAGATTGCCCCTCTGTGCTTTGCCGCGTCCAATCGGCGGTGGCCAGCGTGGTCGAGACAGAGCTTAAAGCACGAGCGATGCATTTCGGGTTCTTAAAGGCGTCAGGATCGCACGAAGGGCTCATGTTTCCATAACTCAGCGTCCCTTCGATTTGGCTGGTTTTTCCTAAGACAAGGAGGGCACCAATCGCAACAGCTACAGCAAGCACGATTCAGTTTCCCCCGAATTGGTGGTTTGGATTGGTGGTTTGGATTGGAGGTTTGGTTTGGATTGCAGGTTGAGGGGTGGTGTCCCATTTTTCCTCGACACTACAAGAACCAGGGTTCAAATCCCCAAACCAGCCAATCCAAACCACATGAGTATGTTCCATGACAACTAGATCTGGGTGCCAATCTTGCACGGAGTTTCCCTGTATCTTCAAACCCACCCCCACCAATCCTGTCGGAGGATACCCTTGTGAAGATATTGATGTGAGGGTCTTTAGGCTGTCGCATTCCCCCCGCCGCTTTTCCCTTCCTTGCCCCATCCTTCCTTAATTGGACCTCCCCGTCCATCAAGCCCACCCCAATTCGACCCACTTGAGATACCTCTTGGCCGCCTTTTCATTGTCCCCGTCCCATTTTCGGATTCTGAGACTTGAGAGGCCGCCTTAGCTGACTTTCCTCTAGCAAAAGGCCGGACCTCGCCTGAAGAAGGGCCTGGCTTCCAGGTCTGTGGAGCGAATGCCCCCCTCGGCCCAGGGGTGCGCCACCGGGCCGCAGCGGAAGTCCAGGTCCGGGCAGCTGCAGCAGTCCACCCCCACCGCGAAGTAGTCCTCAGCCGGAGGATTTTTTTTTTTGGCGGCGAGCTCGGCCGATGTCCAGGCGCGTTTGGGAAAAACCGCACACAAGTGAGACCGCTGGATCTACCACCCGAGATGGATCTACGGGCCTTGCTATAGTAGAACCACCTTTGGGGGGGTTGAAAACGCTGCTCAAATGGGTTCTAGCAAAGGGATTACACATGATCTGTCTTTGGTGTAAGTCGTCCTCGGCGACTTGGATTTTTGTTCGGGTCAAAGCTTGGAGGAAACGGTCTTCCGGATTGTCCTTAATGTTGGGAGGGTCCCACTTGCCCTCAAAACTTGCCACAACTTGCACTGGCACACTTGCACCCCAAACACGTTGCTAGCGACAGTTTGCAAGACCGGCCTAGTGTTATGCATTCTTCGTGGTCGCGGCAGGGTCCTGCCTGCCAAGTCGTACCGAAAAAAACTTAGGCTTCCAGCACCCTGATTATGATCACCCTACTCAGCTGTGGTGTTGAGGCAGTGGGTCAAAAATAGGTACCCAAAATGGCACCATGGTAAATGGAAACAATAACTAAAACCTGTGGTCCCCTGGTTTAATTTTGACCCATAACCTTGAAGCCATCGGCTACCTCCAGCCATAATCAAAGCCCAGCAAGGCCCAGATTGCGAAAAGCAGGACGATGATTGCAAACCAGCACCTCTAACAGCACCCCCCCCCCCGAACAGCGCCCCAAACAGCACCCCCAAAGCATCCAGCCGTCAATCTTGCAAAAATGGGCCTGCACCGCCAAACAGCAGCCCCAAACAGAACCCCCAAACAGAACCCCCAAACAGAACCCCCAAACAGAACCCCCAAACAGAACCCCCAAACAGCACCTGAGCCAGCACGCCAAACCGCACCCCCTAGCGCCCAGCTGTCAGTCTCGCAAATCACTATCCTTCTTTATTAGAAGTTTACAACCCCTATAGCTTTCAGCTATCTGATCTGGGAAGAAAAAAAACATAGCATAATAGTTAAGACATGAGCTCCATTTGCGAATGTGATCCGGCCGAAGCATAGCAAGCCTTGACCCTTTGTTCAATACGGCAAGCGACAGTCACGTCCCCTTCAACGAGCGTTGATCCAATTGGCCCTGAGCTATGCACCCTAAGGAAACCAATCATTTTGAGGGTACCCCGTCTTTACCAAAAAGCACAGAACTAACTTTGCTTTGAATCAAAAACTTTCCCCTTTTCAACCAAACTGCTCTCCTCGCCCCGCTCTCACGCCCACCCATCCACCCCCCCCCCAGCGGCTAACCCCGTGACCCTCCTGCCCGACGGCCGAACCGAGGTGCGTAGCTGCCGTAGCGGGGCGCGTTGCCGATGTCGTGCTGAATCGTTCCGTTGGTCACGATGGGCGCCACCTGAGCCAGCCAAAGCTACGCATGCTCCCCAAGAGCTTGTGGGAAACGCAAGGAGTGAGCCACCTGCAAAAATATGGGTGTGGCTCAAGAATGGGGGCCCAAAATTAATGGAACCCTGGCAGATAGAACAGTAGACTAAAACCTGGCTGTGGTCCCATGGCTCTTAAATTTGAGCCACGCCCACTTGTTCCCAGAAAGGACATGGGAAAGCAGAGCTTTTGCCCTGGTTTTCGTGAGTAAACTTGTAACTCGGAGAATTGGTCTCGGATCAAAATAGAAAGTCCTACAAAATGGGCGGCGGGTGGTTTCTATTGGTTTCCCCGTAAACAACACAAAACAAAATGGCACCCCACCTTTTACATCACCCCACCAAAAGGAAACCACTTCTGGCCAGGGCCGACACACTCAACATCACTCTCCGAAAGATGGAGGTTCGCTACCATTTCCCACCACTCCCTCGATTTCGCTCCCCAACCCGGAGCCGTCAAACCCGCCTACCTCCTCTCAACTGTCCTCAGATCCCCCGAAAGTGACTAACTCTGAGTGGATTGAATGGAAATCCCAACTAAAAAGCTAAAAAGCTCAAAGGCCAAGGGGATGGCCGGCTTCGCCAAGTCAAATCCGATCCCAGGGGCGCAGTAGGTGCGGCCCGCGTGCATGAAGCAGCCCGCGTGCTCGGTGTCCACCCCCGCGCTTCTGGCGAAGTCAACCGCCCCGGCGTCCTGGATCTGCCGGCCCGGGACCACCCCGGGGTCGATGCCCCGGTAGGCCTCGAAGCAAACCGGGAAAAAACGAGCATGAGTTTGCCATCTGTGGCTGAAAGATGATCACGTTGAAGGAATGATATCTTGGTACACCACGTGTTTTGATATGTTCTAAAATGTGAATGCGCATATTCGACAACATTATTAGAGTTGGCGCGAGAAAGGTGGGCACAGAAGATGGCTGATGGCTTCTGCCGGTTCTCGTATCTGTTGGTTCTTGGAGTATAGCAACAACCACCACGAGGAACCGATCGGGACATCTAACGGGCGGTTGGCCTCACCAAGAAATTGAGTCATGATCACAGAATAGCTGGTATTAAAGGTGGCTACCCACGGTAAGGAATCAAAAGGTAGAAAAGGACGCAGTTGATTGTGTGTCCCCGCTTTTCGCAGCGCCTGTGGCAAGCAAGTGGTCATGGCGCTTGCGATCAGGCAGGTGCACGTGGTTTGTAGGAAACTTTGCTTCCCCCAGAGAGGCACATAGATACTCAAAACACCAACACGCGAAAGCATGGCTGCGGAACATACGCCGTTCGTCACATGCTTGTAAGGGCCCCATGGTGGAAACCCCAACACAAGGTTATTATAGACCGCACTCGGCGTTTTCCGGACCTTCTCACTTAGGCCAAAGTGGCGACCTATGGGCAGACCGGGAACATCTCCATCGCCAAAAAGCTGGGCTTCCAATGTTCAGCTGAAGCCCCTAGAGCAAAAGCTACCCCAGCGAAACCCTTCCTGCCGTACCTCTGGGGCTTCGATTTTTTTCGACGTATGGCCAGAGATCCTGGAAATTCCCGAGGTCCCAAAGTGTCCCTTGACACGCTCGCGCACGGCGCAGCGTTACGCTGCGAAGCATCGGAGGGCTCATGGGCCATTGGGTTTCTGGACCAAAACGGATGGACCCTTGGAGCGGTTTGCTCAATCTCCCCTTCAAGGCGACCAGGTGGCACGAAAAACACTGAGTCATCATCAAAACTTAGAGGACTCTATTCGGGACCATGCATGGTACAGGAGCGAAAGGGTGAAAACTTACCCCCATATCGCTTTCAGGTGCTTTGTCACGTGTTCAGAGGGATTTTGGATTCCAAAGAAGCGTATTCCTCTAAAGATGGCGGTCTTCTGCCATGCCGGCTAAATCTGAAAGGAACGAGCAGACTCGCCGACAGCCGGCACGCCTTGAGCAGGGACACCTCTTGGTACTGCTGCCAGTAGTTCTCCCAGAGATGATGCCCGCAGAACCCCCCCAGCACGCAGGCGGCCATCGACAGCACCAGCTTCCAGCAGGGGAACCTGACTGGCTTCAGGCGCCTTTCCGCTCGCATGCTTAAACTTAAGCTGCTGTGAAACAACCTCCTTTTGGGCTTCAAGGGGACCAGGGCTGGTTTAAAGAAATCTCATTCGATCCTGCACAGTCCAAATCTGGTCCCTGGCAAAGGAAACCCCGAGGAAACAGGAAACCGTTGACCATGATTCTACCTTGGATGATCAAATTTAGGATCAGAGCCACCCTGGACATGAGCTGAGGACTCACATCCTGTCCTTGGTTTTCGCAGAAAGAAACTCACGGCTGAATGTCGAGCGTCCAGCTATAGTAGATCACTGCCCGCTCGTGGTGGTTCTGGTGTATCTTCCCAACCAGCACCTCACGTACTGCATGAGCCCGGTCAAAACCACTTGCTTCCCCACGAAGACATGGACAAATTGGAGGTTTGTCCCATGTTTTTTGTGGGAGATTCAGTGAGTCATTGCTAGGAGCTTGGTTCTATATAGACCCTCAGATCTCAAGAGTTCCTTTCCCAGTAAGGTCCAATCATGGTGACAGAGGTCTCTTTCCACCTGTGTGGGGTGACCCTGGCAGAAATCAAACACAGGATGTCTTCATTCAAGACCTTTCTGGCCCTCGCAAGGATGGATGGTGTCCTTCTCGGGCGGGGAGGAAACCAAAGCTCCCTAATCGCTGGCCACCCTTCAGGACCTTTCTGGTGGGTTGGGAGGAGCCCCAATGTCTCTTCTTCCTGGGGGATGAATTCGACCAGTTTGAGTCTTGCTCGACTCAGAATGTGCAAAACACAGCTGGAGGCCCGAAAGAGTAAGTGAATAAGCGAATGAGGGGCCTTGCTTGCCTCGGCTGAGCGCACTGGTCAGAAAGTGAGCGTACCCCCTCCAGCATGCAACTTGGCGATGGGTCAAAATCCAAATCGTACCCCCAGTGAACATCCGGTGATGCACCTACCCCAAAATGGGATCCCATTGGTTTTGACCCACAGCCACATGAAGAGCACCCTAGTCCCTTTTCTCCGCCCACCCAGGCTTTTTCCTAGGCGCGCTGAGCAGCAAGACCCCCAGGGAGCACTTCAGGGATCCGAGGATGTACACCACCACCGCCACGCAGCCCAGAGTGGCGATCCGCGGCAACAGGAAGCTGGCAAGGGAGGCTGCAAAGGCGACCACCTGAAGACTGGCCGAAAAGGTGCCCTGGTGGAAATCGGGAGAAGACCCCGCACCTGATAAAGCCGGGCCGGCTTTCGAGTCCAGGGTCGGATGATCAGTCCAAAGGTTCCAGGGTAGAGAGGTCATTCCCCAAATATTGGCGGCGCAGCCCATGTTGGTGATTGCTCAACTTGAAAGCAAACCATGAGTTTGCCATGTTTATTGGGTGAAAGTAGCTGGAATTTCCTCGATGTGATGCTCTACCAGCATCCAGTTTTTGGGGGTACCGAGAGACATGTAGAGCTATTCCGAAAGAAGGCATCCCCTTTGAAAAGCGGTCGTGTAGATCTGCATTTCGGGTTGAGCACCCAAGTTCACCTAGTTGGAGCACGTCGAGTTGCTTCGAGCTTCCACTCCCGAATCGACCTCTCTCCGCAAGAGGATGCCGAAACAAAGTGCTCACCGGGGCTCTTCTGTTTTTCCTGTCTTGTGTCCTAATTTTGCGGGAGAACCAGCGACCTGAAGCTTTCCCAACAAAACACGGGTCATCTCCTCAAGGAGAGTTCAGCATTTGCACGCTTCCCAGAGCGGCCAAGAGAGGCACGAGGTGAGGTTTCCAAGGTGCAATCCCGGGTTGTACCTACAAATTTCCTCCTGCTTTTGCAAAAGGACACATGGAAACGATCATACGAACCATCTCCCCCTCCCTTTAAAAGAAAAACAAGTGCAGATGTCTCGGAAATTCTTTTTCGGCGATGCCGGGGCCCCCGGCCACTGGCAGAGTGCAGTCCAGCGCCCGCCGGACATTGCCCCCAGCCCTGGCAACGAAAAAGCGGGGCAGTTGGGTCTTTTTGTCAGGGAGAAGGGGGGAGACAGGGGGGGGAAAGGGGTCTAGGTTGGGGTTGTCCATAAAGATGTTTTGAGTCACCGTGCACCTTTGCCTCATCCTTCGCTCAAGCAACCCCCTGAAGAAGCGCTTAGCGCCTTAGCCCGTGTTTGGTCGGTGCGCGGTTTCGTGGCTTGGTTTTGGGAGTTGCCTTCACCATGTGGTTTTGAATCGGAAACGGGGTGCGACTCCCAAACCACCAATCCAAACCAATGAAGGGATGCTTGACTTTGGTGGTGTTACGGGCTGGTCCGCCAGCATGACAGACAAGAAACCGGGTCCCTTGTTTGCCGTACCTCGCCAAAGGTCCTTGAAAAGGAAACCAAGAGGAACACAGGACTTTCACCCTCCCATGTTTGGACGTCCAGCTCCAGGCCGCGCGAGGCGGCAAAAAACCATGGTCTGCCGGCCGGCTCTTTGGGTCTTGGCCTGGAAACCAAAATTGCCGCGACCACCTCCAAGCATGGACCCGCCCAGAAGTGAGCAAATCCCGGCAACCGCGGGCCATCAAGGGATTCTTTGCACCAAGTCTGCTTAAACATGCAAAAACGCCTCGACTTGAAAAAGCCACTCCTTTTGGAATGAATCCCTTGACTCAGTGACTCAGAGGGGACCAGGGCTTCGTTGTTCCTTGCTGAGCATGCGTGATCCCGGCACTAACCTGAGCCTAGGCTCTTCAGACTCAATCACATCTGCTGACAGGGACTTTGTCTGATTTTCCCGCGCCTCTAAAATCATCAAAGTTCCAGGTTCCGCACATCCAAGCACAAAACGAGTCACAATGCGGCTCCCAACATTCTCAAATTGAAAATACACCATGGCTCAAGGAATCAACCTCAGAGATCAAGCCTCAAAAGACCGATCCCAACTAAAATGGTTGCTCAAGAAAAGAACACCCAACTTTGGTTCGGTGCAACGCCAAAAAAAATGTGCCGTTTCCGTCGCCCTACCACCCCAAAAATCGGAGTCTCACAATTAACCAGCGAGCAACGCTCCACCCCTCCACAAGCCAGCCGCCCCTGGGGCCCCAGCTCGAAGCCAGGCCGCGGCGGCTTGCCATGCAGCAGGCCCTTCAGACCTCAATCGGCTGGCTGGCGATCGCTCATGGTGTCCCGGAAAAAATGGGGAACGGCCCGAATCGCCTCATGTTCAGAGGCTCCTCGGCGGGAAGAAGAGAACACCAGACAACGGGGTGGGATGAGATCGCTCGTCATGGTTGCGGAAAACACCCCTTTCTGTGATAACAAAAACATATTGAGACCAGTTCCCATTTCTATCACCACTGAATGTCCCTTCAAAGGGGAGCTTCCTATTACCGAAAATTTGGCAACCTGAAACCACAAAACGTTCCTGAGCCATTCTTGAATGCCCATCAATCCCTCAACGAGACCTAAAACAAGTAGACTGGCTGCGCTGCACAGCAAAGGGTCTTCTCTTATGCTTCAGAAGGGCCCTGGTTTGACACGCAGCCAGCTGACAAACCGAAAAGGGCCCCAAACCTAAAAATACGTCCTTGAATGCAAAACCAGCCCCCAGCCTCAACATACATCCTTCAATAATGCTCCCAACCTAGGAATGCATTTTTGAAGAATGACTCCGAACCTGAAATTGCTGATTTGTTTTGCTTCCAAGATGAAAAGTGGCATACGTCTTCAACTCCAAAGAAAACCGCTCAGAGTTCCCCGTGAGGGTCGGGCTGTGATTGTAGGAGGACAAGAAGCGCTTCTCATCCTGACGGTTGTGCCTTTTCAATTTCTACACTTCTTCATTTCCCGAACCAGAACTCAGATCGGTTTCAAAAGGCCTCCTTGAGAGCAAGAATTCGCGAAAACAAGCACGGTTGCTGGTTGCTGGTTGCTGTTAGGCACTGGAACATGCTCCTTTTCCATGAAGAAAGTAATATCCATCAATCTGGAATTCGGCTTCTCGCTTTCACCCTCCTTTTGCCTTCCAGTTGAAAAAGTCTGGCTGCTGATAAGCGCCGATAAGCGCCTGCCTTCGTGTTTTTCATCCCCGCCCACGTGCTTTCCTTAGCAATGAAAATAAAATTGATGACTCACCAAATGTCATGCACAAAAAATGCTCTCGAATCGTGTTTTTTTCCCCTTTTCAATCACGTCCTCTTCGAGGTAGCCCTCCTTGATCACCATGGCGCTGGCGTACGCGAGCGCCAACTTCGTTCCTGAGCGCTCGAGTTTCTGGGTTGTGATGAAAGATTTACCAGGGTGACGCCGGAAGAATCATCTGAAGGTTGAGTGATGTGGCTGAGGTCCAACTTGCTGCATCAACTTGATAGATCATGGCTCCTACAAAAACCAAAACTTAGCTTATGGCCCCAAAGCCCCGGGGCAGGCGACCCGGTTTGCAGACCGAGTCGCCGGGAAGTCGCCGGCGGGCCCCGCGGCTTGAGAGACAGAAGTTCGGGCGATTTTTGCTCATGGCCCGGGAGACCTGAAAATTCACCGTGCGCCATGAATTTCTTTGGAGTCACTGCCTGGGGTACAGTCATACCCATGTCATATGGGTTTTTTTTCCCGGCAAACCTCATGAAATTGATCCCCTCATTGCCATATTTGCTGCCAGGATTTGAGGTTCTCGTCGACCTCAAAGTTTTAGCAACGATCCATTTGCATGATGGTAAGCCAGCCACCAGCCACCAAAAGAAACAAAGTGGAGTCCCATGATGGTCGAAACTCGTTTTGTCGGCTGTGGGCACGGCTGTAGGGATCCTTTTCCACAGGCGATTTCTCGAATTTCTGTGTGGAGCGAGAAGGGAACTTTGGGGGAGCCTCGCCAAGCTCGGCTGAACACGTGTGGGTTTGAATGAGCATGGCGCCAGCCAGGCCGCCACGGCAACAAGTATTGAAGAAAGGTCTGCACGCCAGTGGTGAAACGAGCCAAACGCAAGCGAATGGGCAGGTCAGCAATCAAGAAAGACAAACAGGTAAAAAACAAACACCATCCAAGCTGCCAAGCAAGCCATCCGCCCTGCCCGCCTTTTTTCGCAAGCAAACAAACAAACAAAACAAACAAGCAAGCAAGTCAAGGCCAGCCAAAGTGCAGCCAAGCGAAGCCAAGCGAAGCCAAGCAAGCCAGGCAAGCCAGGCAAAACAAGGGCCTTGCAACCACGGCGAAGATTGGTTGAGCGCACGAGAAGCCAAGCGACAAGATTTCCGAAGCGGGCACGCCGCTGAGCAGGCACGGGACAGAAGAACAGAAGAGAGAAGCAAGTGTGAAACACTGGCTTCCAAAGCTAAAAATTGCACCTTTTGCCGGTTGAGCCATACGATGGCATGCCAACGCGAGGACAGTTCTTGCAAAGAGACAAGGAAACACACTTCTTTTCGAAAGACTTCTGCTTTACGTCCTGGCCCTGCGTTTTCACTAGTTGGGTGTTTCCTCCAAGCGTCTGTGGCCGTCAAGCGAGGCAGTTGACGCTTGAGCCAGGGGCTTGAAACTGGAAACACGCCCTCGGAGCTCTCTGCTCGGCTTGGAGAGGGTAGAGCTTGGGGGGTCTGCTACACGCACCCATTGCGGTGTGAGGCAAGCCCTGCTCTAGAATTTCGGCGCCTGGCGACATCCAAAGACTGGACGAACTGTCGAACTTTCAGGTCATTAAGGCTTGCGCGGCAAAAATTTGTCACGGAGTGCACCGTTGTGATCTCAATAGTGTGGTGCTAGCCAAGGCCTCAAGTAAAGGTCCATGCTGGTGGCCCATAGCGTCCAATGCATGCTCCAGAGTTTTGCGAAGTACTTCTCTGCCTGTGAGTGGGCTTTTTGATTAACGCATGCAGTTTGTCAAGTTTGCTTGACAATTGAATAGTGTCATGAGCTAAGACTTAAGAGCGTGAAAGGGCGCTCAGAAAGACAAACAACAAAGGAAGAGGAACACGGCAGCAACAAATATCCCCGTGCCGCCTACAGCATAGTCTACGGTTGACAATCAGTAAAGCGAAACGAGCAAGCAACCCGGAGGGAAGCAACAGGCGAGCCCAAACGAATTCCCTAATTAAGGCAGCTGCAGTTGCAAAGCATATGCAAGCAAAACGATGATGGACAAGTTAGACCAGGTACTCTTCTCAACCAAACTGTTGAGTGTTTGCACATGTCATGCGCACGTACAGCCATATACGGAAAAATCGAACAGATGCGACTGTACCACAAAAAAAAAAAAGCCTGTCATGATGGAGCAAAGCCGATTCAACACTAGGCAGCGCTTGTAGACCAGTGCAGCGCAGCTACCGGGCGAAAACCAGGCCAATCGTAATTGAGCGGACAAACTGTTCCA